ATATCAAGCTTGCAAAATGCTCTTTTGGTCAGAATGCTATACATTATTTGGGCCACATTGTCTCGGCACAGGTTATTTCTGTGGACCAAGATAAGATCCAAGCTATTTTAGATTGGCCTACTCCACGTACCACAACAAAACTTCGATCTTTCCTTGGTTTGGCCGGTTACTACCGCCGTTTAATAAAGAGGTATGCTTCCTTAGCCGCCCCACTAAGATCTTTGCTTTGCAGCAACGCATTTCTTTGGACTGATAAACAAGATAAAGCTTTTCAATCTCTGAAGAATGCACTCGCCAACGCCCCTGTATTACAAATGCCAAATTTTATAGCACCCTTCTGCCTTGATACAGATGCTTCAGGTGTCGCTCTTGGCGCGGTTTTAAGCCAAAATGGCCACCCACTTGCATACTACAGCAAGCTTTTCTCTCCTCGCATTCGAGCTGCCTCTACATACATCCGCGAGCTTTGTGCCATAACCGAAGCTGTCCACAAGTGGCGCCACTACTTGCTAGGACGCGAGTTCATCATCCATACTGATCATTATAGCCTGCAACACCTCCTTACCCAATCCATCCATACACCTGAACAAGAAAAATGGCTATACAAATTACTGGGCTTCCATTACCGTATCGTTTACAAGCCAGGGAAGACCAATGGTGCAGCTGATGCGCTCTCACGCTGCCACGACTCCTCCCTTCTTGCCTTATCAGTGCCAATCCCTGCCATATCTGCCCAAGTCATCACGGCTTTAGCACACGACGCCACTGCTGGCAATTTGATGGCTACCGTAAGCAAAAATCCTTCCCAATATCCCCATTACCATATTACTAATGGTTTGTTGTTCTATAAAAACAGAATTTACTTGCCTTCCAGTTCACCTCTATGCAAAGATATGTTTCATGAGCATCACACTAGTCCTTTTGGTGGACATTCCGGTTATTACAGAACTCTTCGACGCTTAAGCCAGGGTTTTTATTGGCCGAAAATGAAGCTGGATGTGAAGCGCTGGGTAAGAAGTTGTCTTGTTTGCCAACAAACAAAGTATACTACTTCTTCACCAAATGGTCTCCTCCAACCTCTTCCCATACCAGAGCGCGTTTGGGATGATGTTACTATGGACTTCATCACTGGTCTTCCACCTTCGTATGGGAAGTCATCCATCATGGTTGTGGTTGATCGCCTTTCCAAATATGCTCATTTTATCCCAATGCCATCTCATTTCACAACACAATCCGCCGCTGCAGCATATGTCCTTCATGTTGGCAAACTTCATGGCATCCCAAAGACTATCACAACCGATCGTGGATCAGTTTTCCTCAGTTCCTTCTGGCAAGAGGTCTTCATTCACCAAGGAACCAAGCTCCAAATGAGTTCCGCATATCATCCACAAACGGATGGACAAAGTGAGGTTGTCAACCGGTGCCTCGAGCAATATCTCCGGAGTTTCACCATGGATCAACCATCATCTTGGTCCAAATATATCCACTGGGCTGAATATTGGTACAATACATCCTTCCACTCTTCGGCTAAAATGACACCTTTTGAGGCTCTATATGGCCGCAGCCCTCCTACTATCCCTGATTATATTTCTGGTGGTTCATCCGACTCCAACGTTGACCGTGTTCTCCGTAACAGGGATGCTCTTTTATGCTTACTTAAAGATAACCTCTGACGTGCTCAACAACGCATGAAAGCTTTTGCGGACACCAGTCGCACAGATCGCGCATTTAATGTTGGTGATTGGGTACTGGTGAAACTCCATGCTTACAGGCAACATTCATTAGCTTAGCGCAAGTCCTACAAACTGTCCAGAAGATACTACGGGCCATTTCAGGTGCAAGTCCATATTGGGCAGGTTGCTTACAAGCTGTCTTTACCATCCACTTCAAAAATACATCCTGTATTTCACATTTCTTTGCTCAAACCATTTCATGGTGAACCAACAGACGCTGCCCTCCCAAGTCTTCCTGACGACGAGCTGGAGAACCTTGGGGACAAGGTTCAGCTTGAAGAGCGAGGGGATGATAAATACCCCACAGCTACAGTACCGCTCCGTGCACGTATACGCAAACGACCAACTCACTTGGCTGACTACGTCGTGGGCACAACATCTAGGAATAGTTAATGTTTTGTATTTTATTCCTTCAGTTACTTTTGTTCAGTTTATTTGTAACCTCCCTAGTAGTTATTTGCTTTCATTGCACGTTCTGATTGTGATCCTTATTTCATGGGATTTAGTTAGTGGGTCTTTGGTTGTTTTAGAGCATAAATAGGAACCGTATTATGAATGAAAGAGAAGATTATTTTGCAGTAACGTTTATTTCTTTTAAATTTAAACAAGCTTATCCTTTTTGCTAAAAAGGAGACCTACCATAGAACAACACAATAAAGGCCTTATTAACTAAAACAAATTCGTTAAAACCTTATTTTCAATCCTAAAGTTTGACCAAAGTTTCAATTTAGTCCCAATTTTTTTGTCAATTATTTCAATGTCATCCTTTTTACTAATTATAATATCCATTTGATTAACGAAAAATGACGGTTTGGATATCACGTGATTAACTGGGATCGTAATATTGTTTCATATTGTAGATTTTTGTTCAATTATATTAACATAATCTTTTATGTTTATGTCAATCATATTCATCTTCTTCTTTTTCCCCAAAATCAGGAAATCGAGTTTTCAATGGATGGAGGTCTCTTTGTAAAATAGTGTCTCAAATATGAATTTCGGTTGTAAAATAGTGGCTTAGTTATTGGTCTACTGTGATTAAAAAGCACCCAAGTAGGGTTTTTTTGATTTTTTTATCCTTCATTACTTAATTAATAATTATTTTGTCCTTTATCCAAAAATATCTACTAATCTGTCCTCTTTAATCGATTAAGTTGAAGATTTAATCGATTAAATGGTCAAAACTGACAAAAATAATTAACTTGAAAATTTAATCGATTAAATCTTAGTCGCATATTTGGCAAAAATGACAAAAGGAAACCGTTTCAGTGACACACTTGCACTGATCCATTTCTCTCTATCTCTGGCTTGGTTTGTCGGTATTTGTGTGTTTTTATGTGTATGCATCCATGATACCAGCTTATCGCCATTCAGTATCTTCTCTTATGCCTCTGGATCTTAATGAAGATCAAAACCATGAGCTCTTCACTCCAAACCATCAAGTTTCTTCTTCATTTTCTTCTCTCACATATCTTATTTTCTATAACCCGCCGGATCAAGATAAAAAAGGATCTTACAACGAGGAACCAAAGCACTTACAAAGTGATGAAGAGGTGATACATATATATTAATTAACTAATTAAGATTTTTCTAGATAGTATTATTATATAGTAGCAGAATTAATCTCTTTTATTTTGATACCTTTGATCATGTACTCTTTAGGGTGAGAAGATTATTCCTTCTAGCGGATCATGGGATCATCACTCAGTGGCTGAAAAGCATGAGAGTAGCAGTGAACACAAGATGACAATTTGGAAGAAATAAGAAAGAGATGAAAATCTTCAGTTTGGATGTCTATTTGCTATCAGAAGTCATATATACAAAAAAGGCAAAGTAGTCTGTGAAAGCCATTTAGTGGCTTGCATACGGATATTAACAAGAAAGAATTGGTCCATCAATTATCATCATGTTGCAAGAAAATTTAATCGATTAAAAATCTTCAAAGTCAACCTTTTTTTTTTTTTTGTCTGTTTTGACCATTTAATCGATTAAATCTTTAAGTTAATCGATTAAAGATGGACAAATTGATAGATAGTTTTAAACAAGGGACAAAATAATTATTAATTAATTAATGAAAGACAAAAAAAATCAAAAAGTCATCAAAGTAGTGTGGTTAAACTTCTGCAATTGAATAGTTTATAAATTTTAAAAAGAAGACGGAGAAGCATATGATTGATATAAACTTTAAGGAATATTTTGAAATAATTAAACAAATATCTAGAACTAATATGATACAATATGATCCCAATTAATCATATGATATCTAAGTTATCGTATTTTATTAATCAAATAGACATCGTTAGTAAAAAAAGATAATATTGAAACATTTCATTAACATTTATAACGAAATTAAAACATTTATAACATACTCATTAATTGCTAATCATATTAAGTATCTTGCAACACTTTTAAAATTTTATAAGGGGTTCGCTTTTTATGCAGTTACTGCAGATAAGTTATCTGCAGTAAGTCAATACGACATCGTTTTGGGACAGAAATTATGGTATTTTTGTAATTTTAATTTATTTCAAAGTTATAATAGACTTTATATTTATAATTTTTTAAGATTTCAATACCAAAACGACGTCGTTTTGAGAATAAATGCAGATAACTTATCTGCATTAACTGCAGAAACATTTTTTTCCTTTTATAAATCAGTTAAAACAAGTTATAATGATTATCTACATAATTAATAGGGAAATAATTTTCTTATGATGTAGGAAAATAATTATCTTATGTTATAGAAACAAGATTGCAAGATTGATAGTCTGTATGGTGACACTATAGGTGTTCACTGGTCTAGGCTTTGTGCCTAGTTTCTTTTTGTTGTGTTTTTGTTTTAATTTCCTATTATTTCCAAAAAAAAAAAAAAAAAAAAAAAGAGGAGAGGAAAAAAAGAAAAAGTGAAACCCACTCATCTTTTGTGCGTAGAAAATTTAATTATCTCATGCAAAATGAGATAAATATAACCCTAATTAATATGATACATGTTGATGAAGTAGTGCGTTTGAATTATACTTTACAAATGACGGTTTTGGATTTGAATTATATTAGTTGTTGTGACTTGTGAGGAGTTGGTTGAATAATTTTACAAGATTTCATATAATCAAACTCTCTTTTTTTCTTCAATAAACTTACGATGTCTAACACCAAACATTTTTAAATATTCAGAAAAAAAAGAAAAAAGAAAAAAGGAAAAAAAAACTGTCTTTAGAAACAGGTTCACGGTGATTCACAGTGTACATAGTTATATTGATTTTCTTCTACATTTCTACTATCAGAGAAGGGAAATGCTTTTCGTGCAATCTTACGTTAACCACCTTCCACACCTACGAAACATAGTCTACATTCACACGTGCCAATCTGATCATCCAAACCTCAGGTAAACTACACTCACAACTTTACTGATTTTTTTTTTTTTTTTCTGGGGTTTCATTTTTTTCCCATTGTTTGCTGGTTTTGCATCTTATTTGATAGAAATCACAAATGGGGTGGTGGTATATATGCAAAAGATGAAATCTTGTTTGAAACTCGGGGAAATGGTTGATGCTGTTAGTAGAAAATTAAGGAGGGAAGATGAGTATTGTTGCTATTAAAGTTAGGATTTTGAGTGTGAGATTTACTTCAACTGTGGAGAATTGAACTAATTCACTTTGTTTATGAGTTGGGTTGAAGTCGTTGATCTGAATTGTTACTTTGACTCAGCGCTAGCAATAAACAGTTTACTCATGGAAAATGTTTTGCCAACAAACTCAACCAGATACCAATAGCTGAATTTCATGATTTTTCCGTTTTATTTGGGAAGAGGAAAAGCTCACACGAGTGGACCAAGCTTCTACGGACACAAGAACCCATATTCATTTTCCCCCTTTAAAAGGGTATTGGGTTTTTCCCCCCCTTTAATTATACTTTCCTTTTCTTTGATTGTTTCCCTTTTTTTTTTTTTATTGATTATTATCTAGGTTAAGGTTTTGTTTTATTATATTCAATTCACCTATTAGAAAAAGCATATGACCTTATTTTTTTCTCTCTCTTTCCATTGTCCCTGATGTCTCATCTTCAGTGATTTTCTTTTGGGATATATGCTTCTTCAACTAACTAGCACATTTGTTCATCTTATCTTCCAATTTTAGGTTTTAATTCAAGACATGCACAAAGTCAAAATCACATCAGGTGGTAGACATGGTTCCTTATTCCAGTTATCACCGGCATATCAAGGTTGTGGTGGAAATGAAAGCTGAATTGTGAATAATGATGAAGACTACATCAGCTAAAAATAAAACTGTATCAGCACTGCAAGTCTGAAAAGTTTAAAGCAATGGACGAAACACAAGGCCAGTATTGTTCTTCTTCCAGTTTACCTGAATCTGCTTTATATCATGGCAGTGGTGGGAGGTCTTATTTCAATGGACAAGTGAATCTCGGGGCTGGTTTATCAGGCCTGAAGAAGAGAGGTCATGGAAGTCGCTCTTGGATAAAAATTGGTCAGGATGGAAATTCTCAGACTTTGACACTTGACAAGGCTACTATTATGAGACATTGTTCTTTGCCTCCCAGAGATCTGCGACTATTGGATCCAATGTTCATTTATCCTTCCACCATATTAGGACGGGAGAAGGCCATTGTAGTCAACCTTGAGCAAATCCGGTGTATAATCACTGCTGATGAGGTCATCCTCATGAATTCATTGGATGGCAGTGTTGGTCAGTACAGGTCAGAATTATGCAATCGGCTTCAGAAAGAAAATTCTGGTAAGGATTGCAGCTTTTATTGCTGTAACATATGCTTTAGGAGCTAGAAAGACTGGTAGGAAAAATGTCTAATAAGTATCTAGGTTCGTTATGACTATATTAACATACCTAACGGTTTTTTCTGTTGTATTATAGCACTGTTAGGAAATAGGAATGGATGAAGAATAATGAGGGAAAGACATTGAGTGTTGTGAACTGTGATGTCTTTTCTTTTAAAAATTTGAAAGCCCAAATTGAATATAGTACTTCTTCTTCAGCTTTCAGTAGCTATTGTCACGTCTTTCTTAAAAGCAATGTTTATATTTGCTATACTTCCAAGGTTTTCTGAGTTTTTTTAATGCTTTTTGATGGAGGTAACTACTGCAAGAATTGCTTACTGTGTCTACCATTTTTGAACAGATGATCTACCTTTTGAATTTAGGGCATTAGAGTTGGCTCTAGAATTGACATGCACATCTTTAGATGCTCAGGTATGAATTGACCAGTAACTCTATTTCTTGGGGAATTCTCCACATTTTTGGCTGTGAATCTGTGATAGTATATTTTCTAGCTCTGTATTTTTTTTACATTAAAAGTGGTAGCAATGAGCTTATATGCTTGCCAGTATTTTGGTTAAATTACTACGGGATATATAAAAAAACCACTCTCCATTAAACCCCAAATAGCGAGGGCGGGGGTGAGAGTAATCTTTGTATGCAGTTTTATCCTTATATATTTGCAAATAATCTGTTTTCCGGATTTGAAACCGTGACCTTTTAGCCACAAAAGAGCAGTACTACAACATATATAATGTATTTAAAATTATTTATTTGCTCAATTTCATTAACCATCCTATGTCCATCATGAACATATAATTATAATTGACTCCCCTTTTTCCTACATCACTTTCTACTCTCATTGTTTATGCTCACTTGAAAAAGGGATCAAACATATTGGGGGATATTGTAGCCAATGATCTTTGATTGTCTGGATAACAAACATAAATACAGGTTGTGGTTGCTCTCACTGCTCCCCTATCTTAATCTTATCTTTGGACCATGTAAAGAACCAATTCAACCAAAAATCTTAAGTTATTGGGTGAGGCTACATTAATGGTTTTATATATCTCTAACACGCCCTCTCACACGAGAGCTCATTGGGCTTGAAGGGTGGATGATGCATCAGGCCTAGCCTACCTATGCTAAGAAACTTCACAATGCTTAATTAATTATTAATTAAATGGGGAGTGGTGAGGATCGAATCCGTGACACCAAGACTCTGATACCATGTAAAAAATCAATTCAACCCAAAAACTTAAGCTATTGGGTGAGGCTACATTAATGATTTTTTATATCTCTAACAGACCAAGAATTGTGGCATAAAATTCAATGTCTCAAGACTATGTATAACTTGGGTTTTAAATTTTTTATTCGGTGTTTGAATTTAGGTAATTGTGTATTTATGTTTCGAAATGCCACATTATATAGCTTGCTAAAATCATAAGGAAAAGTCCTTGGATAAGCTACCAGCCATATATGTAAGTAATAAAGTTGTCAACTCAAATCACTTATATTAGTAAGGATCTTGATTTGATAGGTAAAAGAACTTGGAATGGAAATATATCCCGTGCTAGATGAACTAGCCTCATCTATCAATACTCTCAATCTGGAACGTGTTCGAAGATTTAAAGGTCATCTCCTTGCTTTGACTCAGCGAGTTCAGAAGGTTGATCAACGTAGAATTCTAATCCTTCATTATCATTCTTATTTTTCTAGCTTACTATCACATGCAACTAGTAACTTATATTTAAATCCCAGGTACGTGATGAAATAGAACATCTCATGGATGATGATGGTGACATGGCTGAGATGTGCCTGACCGAGAAAAAGGGAAGATCAGATACTTACCCTTTAAATGATTGTTTTCAAACTCTTACATCATGTAGTGGTAGAGTTATTTCAAAATCAGCTCCTGCTTCACCAGAGCGGTCAGTTAGTGGCATCCACATGTTGCAAAGGGCTTTCAGCAGCATTGGAAATTCTAGTAAACATGGTAGTTTAATTGGTTCATCTGATAATGGGGAAAGGATTGAGCCGCTGGAAATGTTGCTTGAAGCCTACTTTATCGTCAGTGATAATACTCTTAACACATTATTGTCGGTATGAGAATCTTGACTCACTCAGAGCTGTAGTATTAGAATTTACCCACTTTGCTTATAAATTACAGTATAGTTATGTTGGATACCTTAGTATTTGCTAATATAACCAAGGTACTTATATAACATTAGCTTAGCACAGGCATGCCTTCAGTCAATCAGCTACTGTGTAGGAAAACTACTTATGTGACAACCCTAGTTCTGATTTTTGCTAATGAGTAGTAGCCATGATGACTTTATGCATAAATTAGTAGCATCCGCTTTTATTATTTAGGTGCGGTGCTTTGTGCAGTCGCTAAGTATATTTTCCTTTTGCTGGTAATGCAGCTCAAAGAATACATTGATGACACGGAAGATTTTATCAACATAAAATTGGTGAGCTATGATTAACAACTTGCAACATTCTGCTGTCCATTCCTTTGTTTCTTTGATGTTCTAAATTGTGTAAACCAGGGAGCGTTACTTTTTACTCTATCTATTGCAGGGAAATATTCAAAACCGCCTAATACAGTTTGAGTTGCTCCTTACAGCAGCTACATTGATAGCTGCAGTATTTGCTGCCGTGGCAGGAGTATTTGGAATGAACTTTGAAACCACAGTTTTTGACTATCCATCTGGATTCAATTGGGTTTTGGTAATTACAGGAATTGCTTGTGCATCGTTGTATTTGGCCTTCCTATTCTATTTTAGGTACAAGAAAGTTCTTCCAGCATAAAATTCAACAGCAGTAAATTGATAGTGCATTCTATGAAAGCCGTATTGGTCTTAGATTCAAGGCGACTGGGCCGTATACACATCTACTTGTTTGTGAAAGATAATCTACCCACTGCTTCAGCATGGCTAGATACATTGAAGTTTTGGCTATCTCATCAATCAAGATGCCATAGTTATACTTGGGCAACTATCCATGGTGCAGGCCAAGATGTCTCTATAATCCCGTGTTATTTTGAAGGAGTCATAAACCTTCCCATCTCTGCTCTTCTTGTACTCAAACAACAAATTTGAATGATCAAATGCAGTTAGTTTTACAAATCCGTGATCATAGTCTTTAAAGATACTCCATTTGGTTTTGAGGGAAGTAAAAGTTGAAAGACTTGCCCCAGCACCACCAGCAACAATATGTATTGTCCCATTTAATGTTCCCTTACAGTGATGTTTCTCTTCATTGGTGCAGATATTCTGTTACAACATGTAAAAACAAATAGTAGTTAGTAGAGAATATGCATATTCACACCTAGTTGCAGGTTTAAATGATGCTATTTGTGGCATGTGAAATGGTAATTGAAGAAAGGCCGTGATAATGTGCATAGTAGGAAAACTAACTGTCCATTAAATTTATTTCATTTTTCTCAAGAAGAGCATAGTAGAGAAATGAAATTGGCATTTTAAATACTTAATTATGGGTGTTGTGTTATTAATGTACATGGTAGCCCTATATTCACCAAAATTTGTAAGTTTGGATAAGTGGAAAAGGTTGAAGGGACCTGGTATATGGGGCATGTCCTCTCATAATTGTGCACGTGGCCATAGATGGCAATGTCCACCTTGTATTTTTGCCAGAGCCCTTGAAGGCTCTCTCTCCCCATTGGTTCAGCAAATGATCCCTCTTCTGCATAACAGATACAAGAAGAGTAACCAAGCACCCTATGTGCAAGGAATATTAGCCATGGCTGTTTTTGTCTGTCAACTGTTGCCAAACAATGCTCAATGAACTTGTATTGTTCTGTTCCTTCTCTCCAATCATGTTCAGTGTCAGCAATACAGAAGCGGAACATACCATAGTCAATTGAATACCTGGTAAAAGAGTATAGAAATGTTACATGTTCCGGACACGTGATGAAGTATGTTGAGCATTGTCAGCCTAAAGCTTTGATTCCAAAAGCATTGGTGGGCTTTATTAGAACGTAAAAATGAGTAAAACCTTAATTTAGTTCCTGAAAGATAGAACATCTGATCATATTAGACACTGAAAGATGAAAATTATAATATGAATTTTGTTGGTTCAAATAATTCTTGATGCCTTTAACTCATGGACTAATTGACCGACAAAATGCATATTTTAGGGACTTCTATGTGATAATTTTTAGCTTTTGAGGGCTAATATGATTTATGTTATATCTTTCAAGCACTAGTTTGGCTATTTACTCTTCTTGAATGAAACCCTTACTCCTTATCATATATTTAGTTGTATTAAGCATTATTCACTTCAATAACCTTCTTTCTGCAAGGGAGAAACCCTAACATGTACTAAATTAATTGATTATCATCCAAAATGCTTAGAGGTGAATTGTATCATACAGAACTGCTTAATTATAATCAGGATGGAATTACAAACCGCTACATTGCCATACCAGAACTTAGCCCTGTTTGAAGCAGGGACATAGAACATAGTCTCTGCCAACACACCACATTCTCCTCCAGAATCCATGTTCTGATAAAAGGATCCTGTCCCAGGCCAGTCTCGCTCATGGTTTCCACTGTAAGGACAACAGCAGCATAAGATTTCAATGTCATTTAAAAAGAAAAAAAGATGAAGCACTACTTCCTTGACTAATTTTTGGGTTAAGCTATTAAAAACCTTGCAATCATGTAAGGCACAGTTGATGCAATTGGCTCCACCTGTGCTGTAAATTGATCCCACTGGGAAATGTATCCATTTGCATAAGATATATCTCCAATATGGAAAACCATGTCAATGTTTTCTAAGTCCTGGATAAGCTGCTTGGTAGTGTTAATGGAGCCACGTTGGAAATTGTTGTATTCATTGGAACCATCCACTTCATCCTGCATGTTGAAATATGTATCAAATACTCAAAGAGAATTGCAAAATAAAAGGGTTATGGTTCACATTGAGGACACAATAGGGTCTCAAACCTTCCCCATATCACCAAATATGACTACACGTTGTAAAGACTTCTGCCCAGGAAAGGGAGCTGATCTAAACTGATAGGTTTCGCTCCAAATGTATGTACCATTGTTTAATTTGTGTCCTATCTTGTACTCATATCTGCACAATCCACAGCAAGCACAATCAACATTGATTCTATTTAATTGAACAACAATCATGACATCATTATAACAGACTCACTAATTTTAAATAGAAAAGATGACGCAACACAATAGGTTTCATTCTAGTTAGGAACTCAATAACAACAAAAATAGTTTATTTATTTTTACAACTATTGTTAAGGCCTAGAAGAAACCTATAGCAGATAATGACAATTCAAAAAAATAAAAAATAAGCACTATCCCACTAGGGGGAGTTGACCCATAATACATAATATCAGAGAAAAAAACTGTTAGGAGAAGAGTAAAACAAAGGATTTTTACTAAGGCAGAAGTCGTAACTTTTACATTCAAACAATAGATTTTTAAATTACAAAACTTGTAACTCTACAATAAAGACACTTAACATCACAATAAACTCCCATAATTTCAGAAACTTAAAAACATAAAACTGACATTTAACGTTTGCTGAATTAAACCCATTAAAAACTAAATTGATTGCTGAATTAAACCCATTAAAAATTAAACTGACACATAACTCCACATTTAACGTTTATTCAACAAAACTCCCACGTAAACTTAAATGCTTCTGCCATCCTTCATGCCGATCAATTTCTTGTAGTTGTCAAGGAGTACCGTCGGTAGTGGTTTCGTGAAGATATCCGCGACTTGCTCTTGACTGGTCACGTGTGTTAGCTCCACATTTCCTTCCTTTACTTGATCCCGGATGAAGTGAAATCGGACGTCAATATGCTTGCTTCTTTCATGATTTACCGGGTTCTTGGCTAGCTCTATAGCCGACTTATTGTCAATTCGGATCACAGTTTGGCCGACTTGTTTTTCCTCCAGCTTGCTTAGCAAAAAATTCCTGAGCCACATTGCATGACAAACACACCAAGATGCAGCTACATATTCAGCTTCACATGTCGACAGTGTCACAATAGGTTGCTTCTTTGAAATCCAAGTGAATGCCGTGTTGCCCATGAAAAACACATAACCAGCCGTGCTCTTTCGATCATCTACGTCTCCACACCAATCACTGTCAGAATATCCAATCAACTTGTATTTTGCCGAGCTCGAGTAGTGTAACCCGTGTGAAACTGTACCTTGAACATACCTCAGAATTCTCTTTACCGCCTTCCAATGTGTGTATCTTGGCTCCTCCATGAACCGACTTACTATGCCGACACTCAACGAGATATCCGGCCTCGTGCACGTGAGATAGCTTAGGCTTTCCACCAAACTTCTGTACTTGCTTGCATCAACACGGTCTCCTCCATCAAACTTAGAAAGTTTTGAACCGGGTTCCATTGGTGTTGAAACCGGGTTGCAATCTTCCATCTTGTACTTTTTCAAAATCTTTTTTGCATAAGCCTCCTGTGACACGAAAATTCCCTTCTCATTTTGTTTTACTTCCAAACCGAGAAAGAACTTCATAAAACCGAGATCTGTCATTTCGAACTCTCTTGTCATTGTGCTCTTGAACTCTTGTATCATCTTGGCATTGTTTCCCATAAAAATGAGGTCGTCAACATAAAGAGCCACAATTAACAAGTCTCCTCCATTTTTCTTGACATAAACAACATGTTCATATGGACATTGTTCAAGTCCATTCTCCTTGAAATATTTGTCAATACAAGCATTCCATGCTCGTGGTGCTTGCTTCAACCCGTAAAGTGCTTTCTTCAATCTCAGCACCTTCTTCTCTTCTCCTGCCTTCATGTAGCCCGACGGTTGTTCCACATAAACTTCTTCTTCAAGAACACCATTCAGGAATGCCGACTTTACATCCATTTGATGTATTGGCCATCTGTATTGAGCAGCCTGTGAGATGAGTAGCCGAATTGTCTCCATCCTTGTAACAGGGGCAAACACCTCGTCATAGTCAATTCCAGCCTTATGCTTATAACCTTTTGCAACTAGCCGAGCTTTATATCGTTCTATCTCCCCTTGAGCATTCATCTTCTTCTTGAACACCCACTTCACTCCAATGGGCCGACTTCCTTTTGGTAGCTCGGCTAACTCCCATGTGTTATTTCGGTCAATGGCTTCTATCTCCTCATCCATGGCGTCTTGCCATTTCTTATCTCGGATGGCTTCTTCAAAGCTTATATTTTCAGAATCTGCAAGAAGACAAACAAAATGTACCTCACTTGTTGACTCATATATGTCTTGTATGCTCCGCATCCTGGGTTGTCGTACCTCGTCTTCATCATCAGAAGCTTCAGGACTTGCCGGGTTGATAATTTGTGTTGTGATTCCGTCTTCAAAGTTTATCTCAGATGAATTGCTCCAGTCCCACTCATTTGCTTCATTGAGCTTTACATCTCTGCTCACTATGACTTTCTTGTTGACGGGGTCAAACAACTTATACCCCTTTGTTTTTTCATCATATCCAATAAAAACATATTTCTTGCTTTTATCCTCGAGCTTGGTTCTGAGCTGGTCCGGTATGTGTGCATAGGCCACACTACCAAAAACTCTGAGATGAGCCACTGAAGGCTTTTGACCGCTCCATGCTTCCTGTGGTGTTTTGTCATCCAAGCTTGAATGTGGACATCGGTTCCGCACATACACAACACACTGCACAGCTTCCGCCCAAAACTCCTTCGGCATCCTTTTGTTCTTCAGCATTGACCGAACCATGTCAAGAATAGTCCGGTTCTTCCTTTCAGCCACGCCATTCTGTTGTGGTGAGTATGGTGCTGTTAGAAACCTCCTTATCCCCTGTTCCTCACAGAACGACATAAACGCTGTTGAGGTATATTCCCCACCTCTGTCAGACCGCACCGATTTGATATAGCTTCCTGTTGCTTTCTCAATCATCACCTTGAACTTTTTGAACACATCAAACACCTCAGACTTCTCCTTCAGAAAGTAAACCCAAGTTTTCCGTGAGAAATCATCAATAAAGGAAATAAAATACTTCTTACCGCTGAAGGAACCCGGATTGATGGGTCCACACAAGTCGGTATGTATTAGTTCCAGAGGTTGATTAGCCCGGAATCTTGCCATCTTCTGAAACGTGGTCCTGGCATGCTTGCCAAGTACACAACTCTCACAAAACTTTCCTTCAAAGTTTATGTCAGGTAACCCGTCCACCATCTTTTTCTCTGCCAACTTGGTTAGACCACCATAATGTAGGTGACCAAACCGGAGATGCCAAAGTGACGCCTTATCTTCTACCTCGGCTTGTAAACATTCAACCTGTACACATTTCAAATTCAGTTTATACATACGATTCTTACCCATTTGAACTCGGACTATCATTCGACCTTGCTCATCTTTCAAATACAATACCCGGTCTTTCATAATAACCGAGTAACCTTTCTCCATCAGTTGACCCATGCTTAAAATATTGCTTTTTAGGTCGGGTACATAGTACACATCTCGAATTGAGCCAATTAACCCGTCATTTTGTAGGAAACAGATCGTACCTCGGCCTTTTACCTCAACCTTTGAGGCATCCCCGAACGAAACATGTCTGGTTTCCACTTTTATCATCTCCTTGAAGAAGTGTTTATGTCCGCACATGTGGTTGCTCGCACCCGTGTCAAGATACCACTCCATGTCATCGTCAGGACTTCCTTCACTGTGTGTCATTAACAAGACACCATCCTTCATCTCGCCTTCTGTGGCTAGGTTGGACGTCTCCTCCACCTTTTTCTCCTCTCTGCATTCTCTTGCGAAATGTCCGACTTTGCCACAGTTGTAACACTTGTCCGAGTTACAATCTTTCGCATAGTGACCAAACTTTCCACATTTGTGACACTCGATGTTTGAATAATGTGACCGACCTCCTCGTCGACCTCGTCCTCGTCCTCTCCAGTTTTGTTGATTTGACTGTCCTACCTCATCACCATACACTTCTTGACTTCGGCCTCGACCTCTACCACCACGGCTAGTACCTCGTCCACTGCGGCCACGTCCTCTACCTCAGAAACTTTGAGAATAGAGCATCTTCTCATCTTTAATTGTTGCTTTGGTCTGAAGTACCTGCTCAAGAGTTTCCTCCTTCTTCTTCTTTCTTTGTTCATGCGCTTCAAGGGAACCCGCCAACTCGTCAATGGTGAGTGTAGACAGATCCTTGGACTCCTCTATCGCACAAACCACGTTTTCGAACTGGTCTGTCAAAGATCTCAAGATTTTCTCTACCACTCTGGTGTCAGGTATATCTTCTCCATTCCGTTTCAACTGGTTCACAATTCCTTGAACCCGGGCAACGAACCCGGATACTCCTTCTGTGTCCTTCATCTTCATTCCCTCCAACTCGGCACGAAGGGTTTGAAGCCGGACTTGTTTAACCCGGTTAGCTCCTCTATAGACATTTGCCAAGATGTCCCAGGCTGCCTTTGAGGTCTCACAATTTGCTATCTTCTCGAACCCGGATTCGTCTACAGCTCGGAAGAGCATGAATAACGCCAGCTTGTCTTTTGCACGTGTCTCTTTCAACGCTTTAGTTTGAGCCGCCGAATAGCCTCCAGTATCCTGTGGTTCTACAAAACCTGCTTGAACATTCTCCCAAGCGTCCTGGGATCCGAGAAGAGCCTTCATCTGGATGCTCCAATTCTCGTAGTTCTCCTTCGTCAACTTAGGTAGTGCCATATCACTCCCCCTTTCCATAGCTCTGATACCAATTTGTTAGGAGAAGAGTAAAACAAAGGATTTTTACTAAGGCAGAAGTCGTAACTTTTACATTCAAACAATAGATTTTTAAATTACAAAACTTGTAACTCTACAATAAAGACACTTAACATCACAATAAAAACTGATGGCTTCAGAGTGAAGTTCTCACAATATTAATGAAAAGGTAACCTGCGGTTAAGAAAGTAAAACAAAATTGGAATTGGAATATAAGATTCGTGTAATTGTTGGCATATACCTTGAGAGGTGAGCATAAAATAAGGAAATGTATACAACTAGGCCATTATAAGCTAGAAATAACATACATTCTGTTGGGCCACAATTCTTTCAGATAACTGGTGTGTATGTATCCTGGGTCACGCCATCCCACTGTTCTTGCTGGTGCACCTGTTCATAAATTGTTAATGTTAGTGTGCCATGAATTTAGGTTTAGAAATAAGAATATACATTTTAAGACAGGTACACTAGAAAGTAGAAAGTATGCCTTATTTAAGTTCTTCTAAAAACAAAATTATATAAACAATTTCTACACTCCCCCCATTTTTTTTTTAAGTTTTTATCATGAATATTCATATATCTAGAAATTATGCCCAAAATTCTTAAATGTGATGTGCCAACATTGTTGATTCCAAATCCTAGGGTCAAATACTTCGTAATGCAGAAGTTCCAATTACAAGATAAATCTCAACTGTAAAAAATTCAAAGGTAAGACGTTAGCTTACCACACAAGCTATCACGAGTGAAAGTCAGTGTGCCAGCAGGTGAATGTATATGATCCTCTCCTTTTGGACCCCATTGAACAAAAGGTTCAGCATCACTGATCCCATATCCACTTGTCCATGTTACAGTCATCTGTTTTGAGTTCAAAATGGTACTGTTTCAATTTGATAAAATGAAAGAAGAATTTAAAGAAAATAAGTAAATGGAACACAAATAAATTAATAAATAACGTAAAAAAGATAATAGAAACATGCTGAATGCTTTCTTTCTTCGTACACCATTTGCTCATGTAGGAAACTTCCTTATCCTTGTTATGTCGTGTGTGTAAGTTTTATGCTGTCTGGGACAGAAGAAATTGAACTTACCTCGTTCCATAACTTTCCCAGTGCCAGGCGAGGGTAAACTGGTGCATTTGGATTTGCAAAAGCTATTTTATCTGACACTGCCACCAGCTTTGGCTATCATGCGGTATATAGATACAAAGAAGAGATTGCATTTAGCTATATCATGATAGAGGTTAAAATAAAAAGTTTCAGAGGGGCATAAAAGCATTACTGAATTTATAGAATTGGAAAATCTGATCCAAATTACTGGTCAGAGGATTATTACATAAATATACTAAAATCCAAAAGAAACGTATGCCAGCGATAATACTAGCATTGAAGGGTGGCAATCTGGTGAATCAGTGAGTTCAAATGTCTATGAGCATGGCATGTCTGTGACAGTGTGTGTACAATGATAACATCGTTCTTATCCAGTTCAAAGTAAGAAGTAATGTATAACAAAATTCATCTGGTGATAGTTTCCATAATAAGAATCCTTTTCTTCTAGGTAAGGGAGGGGTGGTCTAGCAGTAGTAATTCAATCCATACTGTTGAGATATATAGTCCCACATTGGTTGTATGTGCAACTAATGTGGAGTTTATAAGGCCTTGGACACTCTCATCCTTTAAGCTTAAGTTTTTGGGTTGAATTGGTTTTTTAACATGGTATTAGAGCCTCGCCGCCCCCCACTTTCTCTTGTGGCGTTTCTTAGCACAGGTAGGCTGGGCCTGTTGCATTGTCCACTCTTCAAGCCCAATGGACTCTTGTGTGAGGGGACGTGTTGAGATATATAGTCCCACATTGGTTGTATGTGCAACTAATGTGGAGTTTATAAGGCCTTGGGCACTCCCACCCTTTGAGCTAGCTTTTGGGGTGGTGACCTCAAGGTTCTTAACACATACTATCTATACAGTAAATTACTGGATCAGTAATCCGAACATATATATGGATCAGTAATCTGATCAAAATAAGCTTGGTGCAATATTGCCTTATGAATAACAAACAGAAAAAGGGAAAAGAAAGGGATAGTTCTCAATCAGCCCACAAAGTAGCCAGAAAAAAGATATGTTAACTTGTATCCATTGTTTAAAGAAAGAAAAGAAAAAAAAGAAAAGAGGCAAGTATTATATCATGGACCAAGAACACTTCAAAATCATTAGCTCATAAAATTTGGTTTGTGATAGAATCATAGAATATTGTTGAGATATATAGTCCCACATTGATTGGATGGGCAACTAATATGACCTTTATAAGGCCTTGGGCACTCCCACCCTTTGAGCTAGCTTTTGGGGTGGTGTATCCCAAGGTTCTTTACATGGTATCAGAGCCTCACCGTCTCCCGCTTTATATAGCCCATAGAGTTACCTGCCCTCACACTTCTCACCAAAATGGTGTAGTTGAGAGAAAACATCGTCATGTTGTAGAAACTGGCTTAGCTCTTCTAGCCCATTCATCACTCCCAATGAAATATTGGGACTATGCCTTTACAACTGCATGTTATCTCATAAACAGACTCCCTTCATCTGCTATTAATTTTGATATCCCATACACCAGATTGCTCAAACAGCAACCAGATTACAAGTTTCTTAAAAAATTTGGGTGTGCATGTTTCCCTTTCCTTAGACCTTACAACAAACACAAGTTGGAATTTCGATCAAAAGAGTGCATCTTTGTTGGTTACTCACCAATTCACAAGGGATATATCTGTTTAAGCCCAGAAGACAGAATCTTTATATCCAAGGATGTATTATTTCATGAGTTTCGTTTTCCCTATAAGGAATGGCACAACACTACCCCACCTTCACAGTCACCTCCTTCTACTTCTTTTCCATTAAATATTCTACCTCATCCTATTCATCCTACACCAACCGACACCTATTCTCCTCACACTAGTACATCAGCTTCTGTCAGTTCAGCATCTGCCCACAATAGTGTCCAGTCCAATTCCCCAACTTCAAGTCCTTCCAGTTCACCTGTCTTATCTCCTCATGAGTCATTCCACACTGAACTTTCTCATCACACTGAGTCCAGTATTTCTCCTACTCCTAGTAGCTCCTCTTCAAATAACTCCAACTCACTCTCGAGTCCAGAATCATCACATTCTGAATATGTACCTTCTGGTTCACTAAGCTCACCCTCTTCTGCACATTCTACCAATACCAGATCAAAAACACTGGCCAGAAATACAGCTTTGCTTACATATGCTGAACCCACATCTGTTAAACAGGCCCTAGCTAGCTCATGCTGGCACCAAGCCATGCAATTGGAATATTCTGCTTTACAACATATAACACTTGGTCCCTTGTCCCTTTACCTCATGATAGAAAGGCTATTGGGTGTAAATGGGTGTTCAAGATTAAAGAAAATCCTGATGGCAGTGTGAACAGATACAAGGCAAGGCTAGTGGCAAAGGGGTTCCATCAAAGACCAGGGTTTGATTACAATGAGACATTTTCTCCTGTTGTCAAACCAGTTACTGTTAGAGCTGTCCTTTCTATTGCTCTCACCTATGGCTGGCCTCTAAGACAATTGGATGTAAACAATGCTTTTCTCAATGGAGTCCTTGAAGAAGAAGTGTATATGGTTCAGCCTCCTGGTTTTGAAACTGAAGATAAATCACTGGTTTGTAGACTTCACAAGTCTTTGTATGGCCTTAAACAGGCCCCTAGAGCTTGGTTTGATAAACTCAAAGGCTCGGTTATGTCTCTTGGATTTTGTGCAAGTAAGTGTGATCCTTCATTATTCATTTACAAGACTGGTACAATGAGAGTATACATGCTTGTCTATGTGGATGACATAATTGTCACAGGGAACAATTCTGCCTTCATGCAGCAGATTATTTCTCAGCTTAACTCCACATTTGCCTTAAAGGATCTAGGAGAATTAGACTATTTCCTTGGCATTGAAGTCAAGAGGGATTCTTCTGGTTCTCTCTCTCTCAATCAGTCTAAATATATAAGGGATCTGCTCTCCCGAGTTAATATGTCTGATGCTAAGCCCATCTCAACTCCCATGCCTTCTAGCTGCAAATTATCCAAAATTGGCAGCAATCATTTTGAAGATCCACACCTCTACAGATCTGTTGTAGGTGCCTTGCAGTATGCTACAGTTACCAGGCCAAATATATCCTTTGCTGTTAATAAAGTCTGTCAATTTATGAGCCAACCGTGTTTGGAGCATTGGAAAGTTGTTAAACGGATCTTGAGATATCTCCAGGGAACCCTCACTCATGGTCTTCACTTTCAAACAATCAAGTCAGCTTCTGGTTCCTTTGGACTTACAGCATTTTGTGATGCTGATTGGGGTGGGGATCCTGATGATAGAAGGTCCACTTCAGGGGCTTGCATCTTCCTTGGTCCCAATCTGATTTCATGGTGGTCAAAGAAGCAATCCATTGTAGCCAGATCATCTGCAGAAGCAGAGTACAGAAGCATGGCCCTTGTTTGTGCAGAAATTTTGTGAATTAAGTCTCTTTTTCATGAGCTACATCTGCCCCTTTCTGTTCCTTAGGTTCTTTGTGATAATTTGAGTGTTGTTGCTATAGCTCATAATCCCATCTTACATGCCAAAACAAAGCATCTAGAACTTGACCTACACTTTCTTCGTGAAAAAGTTGTGGCCAAAGATATCTTGGTCAATCATATTCCTGCTACTGATCAGATAGCTGACTCTTTCACCAAGCCATTGCCTTTGATGTCCTTCTGTAACTTCAGGAACAAGCTTAGAGTCTTGAACTCAGCATTGACTCGTCAATCCTCCTAAGCTTGAGGGGGAATATTAGTGATACTGATTAGCTGTAGTGTAGGATACACTGTACATGTCACACACCATATTATTTCTCTGTAAGTTTGTTGAGTTTGTTAGACTTGCTGAGTCATCAGTGTAATGCCTTAGTCCTATATATAGAGCACAGTGTGATGTACAAATCAATCAACTATTCATTTTCTCAATATTAATTACAAATGTTCATCTCTCTGAACTTTCCCTACTTCTCTCCTCTCTCTACTTTCTCTCTCGTCACTCCTATGATGGAACTCTGATATGGTATCAGAGCCTCACCGTCTCCCGCTTTAAAGTGAAATTAAAAACAAAAATAAAAAAGCACAAAAGGTAAACCAAAAATGGGCCTGTGCAATTTCCACCCTTCTAGCCTAAAGGGCTCTTGTGTGAGGGGGCGTGTTGAGATATATAGTCCCACATTGATTGGATGGGCAACTAATATGACCTTTATAAGGCCTTGGGCACTCCCACCCTTTGAGCTAGCTTTTGGGGTGGTGTATCCCAAGGTTCTTTACAAATATTAACATCCACTAGCTAAAGCAAGTTCAAACTAAAGATGGGCTTACGTTTGACAAGCCACCAGAAAACAGTGCAAATGAGAAATCTGATCTCTGATTAATCAGCTGAAGCTTCAATAACCCTTTTCCAGTTACATTGTAGTTGGGATTTGAATAACTTGCATATTGATACTGCACAATAGAGGAAACATCACTTCAATTTTTTCTTTCATAATTTCTCTGGCTTCAAGAAAATGAACTGAAAGAAATGATTTTGGTAAAGTCATTATCATTACAAGAATATAGTACAGGTTAGTGGTTACATCCACACATGTACCTTAATAGGCGCAGAACACAATACTGGTGGATAAACCCTAGGATTTTCTTTAGGACACGTAGAAGCACTGAAATGTACAAAACAGAAACAACTTTAGTCGGTGAAAACTAAACAATCAAGTTTGATTGTACAAGACAAGAAATTAATTATGACAGTTAAATAGAACTAATAAAGAACCCCAAATTGTGGAGACAATACTTAGGATATGACCTTATAATGAATTTTACCTAAAGTTGGCAGGAGAGAATACTCCAATCCAATCATCAATTGATGGAATTGGAGAACTGTACTCCAGGGTTACCCATTCTGCAGTTTGCCCCTATAAAAGGATCAAGTAAAACTTGCATCAGCAACAAGAAAATATGCAAGACGGCAAGTAGAAAAATAATATAGAAGCAAAAAAAAAAAAAACTAGAGAATTTACAAATTACACCAGTGATGAACTTACATTGGACAACATTGTTAAAACTTACTTGTAGTCCAAGAACTGAAGGAGATGCTTCGATGTAAGCAAGGTCAAGAAGGGATACCGTTGCTTTATGAACAGCAACTTTTGACAGAGGCTGATCTCCATGTGAACACACCTTCTGGAGCACTAAACAAACCAGTAGAAATGCCAAGAAGATAAACTTGGATTCTCCCATTTCAGTTTGCTGTTTCAGCACGATCTCTGATTAATTACAGTAGCCCACCACACCATATGTATGTCGTTATAACCAAAGTTATACAGCAGTGAAGATAGACTATACTCATATAGTAAATGCTAACTCCAGTTCCAGAAAACTTGCCTAAACTATATCAAATTTCTTGTATATTATATACTACTTAGCTTTCCACCAACCCACCCAAAAAGTAAAAATTACAAAAACAGAAAAAAAAGGTGGCAAAATAGAATATGCAAAGCAGGTGCAGGATAATAACAACTACATGTGGTTAAGTTCACCTGTTAATAATCTGAATTTGTTTGTTGAAAGCTAGAAAGAGGTTGTGATTTGTTGAGGGAGGGAGATATTTCATAGGATATTAGTTTAGTTCACAGGATAATAGTTTACAAGAGGAATCTTGGGAACAAAAATAAAGATGCCATTCTAACCCTTTTTTTTTTTTTTAGTAAAAGCCACTCTCCGTAGCTGAGTTGTGTCAGCTACAGTACATTGTTCATTTCTCCGTTGCCTAGAAGTGTTAATGTTGACTACGTAGTTTTATATAAATGATCAAAATTAATTTATTTATATCTAATTTCATTTATTCATATATGATTACATTTGTAAATATTTCTCTCAAACTATATCATAAACAAACTCTCTTGTAAACTTTTATAATAAGCCTTTGTTTTCTTCCTTTTAATAATAGAGAAATATTTTTCTTATGTCGTTGGAGATAACTATACCATGTTATACACTCATCAAAATTTGTGCCAGCTTGTTATCAAAAAAAAAAAATTTGTGCCAGCTTTTTTCTTTTCTTTTTTCTTTTGTTTTAAAGTGTGAACCCCACATATTTATCTTACACATGAAAAAACTATCTCAACCAACATGAGATTAGTGTCATGCGTGACGTGAATGAATAGCAACGCGGTGCTGCTCTACTTCTAAACCTTAAAGTTAACCGGCAAGATCAACGTATGTCAACACAACACTAAGGGGCCGTTTGGTTCGGGTTTTCTCAAGATAATCCCAGGCAATACAAATTGGAAATTTACGAAGCCAACATTTGGTTCAACTTTTTTTAAAATTTCCCCAGCAAAGTGAGTTGCCTAGCTTTCACAATTCTTTGTAAAAAAAAACGAGAAACACAGACGAAGATTTCCACTTTAAATATAGTATTGTGTGATAACCAGGCAAATAGGATACAGAGAACTTCATATATGACTGAACTACCCTTCTGATAAATCAGAACAAGACTGTTGAAGGTTGCATATAATGACTTTATAATTATTAAGGGGTTAGTTTTGTAATTTAAATCATTTATCCATCAATATTTTATCCTCAACCAAACATAGACTTCAATAACTTTAATCAATTTGCTTGGTAATATTTTTCCCAACCAAACAACTTTTTTTTAACTTTCCTACCCAACTCACTTTCCAACCATTTCCCTCATTTCCCTAGTAATCACATTTCCCTAGTATTCAAAAAATTTCACCTGAACCAAACAACCCCTAAGTAAAATAAAATTTTAATCGTTTCATATTCACGATTGTATATATAACTTTGTCTAAATTTAACAACAAAATATTTAAGTATCTAAGCTTAGAAAATAGCCATTCAATATATCCATTAAATAATATATAAAACATGAAATACGCATGCAATATTATACAAAAACATAGTAGAAATTTATATGGAAAAAATACGTATCATTTTAAATGATGTAAAATTATGTCATTTTAAGTGAGAGAAAAAGATAAATAAAAAAAGAGAGAAAGTGGACAAAAAAATATAAAAGTGTAGATCCCACCTCTTTGTGAAAGTGAAATGATATAAATTGTGTCATTTAAAAGGACAAACACTTTTCCCAGTTTATATTCATCTTTAAGAGCTTTTGGAATGCTGCACAACAACGTGACTCTATAACGAGTTATAGATAATTGAAAATAAAAGAACCGTGCAAATAAAGGCTGAAGACTGAAATGAGATGGAAAAAGAACCAACAAATGGTAAACAGTTGATAAATAAAGGCTGTAAATAACGATGATTCTAACAAATACTCTCAGTTGTCGCATCTGTTGCATTATATATTCAAAAATTTCAAAGACACTTGCCCAAAAAAAGGAAGTGACTCATAACTCCACTTGGCAAAGATATTCTCCAGCTGATACTTCAATCACAGCATCTCTCACCACTTCTATTGACAGCAACTTGATTGCTTTAAGTGAAACATATAGTTATTGACCTTAGTACAAAGTCACTAGAACCTTATCACTGGAACATCAACATAATTGGTGTTTATCTTCTGCCAAACTCTGATTCAAGGGAGAGGACATACAAAAAACAGTGACCATTTATTGATGCACGTTAACAGTTTCTCATATCCTAGAGAACCTCGGTGACATTGAATGGCATAGCACACCCGAACTAAGCCTTAGATATTATAAGTATAGATGTATGTATATCCATTCTGCCCGTGAAGCCCATGAATTCAAACCAGCATCAACTCTGAAAATGTGAGAGCAAAAACAACACCTTAAATTAGGAGAGTCATGGAAAACCAGAGTTAACACTGATGGTTTCAGACTGAAGTTCTCACAGCATTGATGAAAAGGTAATTCATGATGATGAAAGTAAAACAAAATCAGAATATCAGATTTGTGTGAATTTGTTAGCATATACCTAAAAAGGGAAATACAGAATTAGAAAATACATGCATGATAGGCCATGAGCTAGAAATGACATACATTCTGTTGGGCCACAGTTCATTCTGTTTGAGAAAATTTATGATCCCAATGGTAGACTAAGCACTTGTTGAAGGATACGAAGCACAGACTCTTAAGGAAGGGGCCATGTCTATGTTGGACACCTGTTTGCCGCGACTTTGGACATGCGTCAAACAAAATCCAACACTTAATAATGCATGTGGAGTGGACACAACTAATTTTGTTGAGTTACTGTTTCTGTGTCCATATCATGTCTCATATTTGTGTCAGTTTTCTTGTTTTTTACATGAAAGGCATTAGATGAACTTGCACTTTGAAGGGATTAAGTTTGATGTCCAGTGATTGGCTCCCTTTGGCCAACGGGAGTTCTGAGAGATAGTAATGCAACCAACACTTCAAATTTTATACTTGAAAAGAAAAATATCGTAGAAAGGGGTATGCCTCATTTCCTTCTGTTCTATTGGCATGGGTGTATGAGACTTGTAAGAGGTAATAAAACCAATTCCTATGCATGCAGCCTGCAACTAACAAGTTAAGCTTTCAGAATGCATTGATTCTCACCAGGGCAACAATGCATCTTTGACCAAGTTGCCAAGATTTTGATCTTTGTCACTATTTATATTACAGCATTAGGTAAGGTTGGTCTGTGCTTTGTATGCACTTCAAGCCAAACTTACAGGGCTTTTATGTGAGAGGACATCTTGGAGATAAAAGCTGGCCTGCACCTAACAACTAAAGATTTTGGAATGAATTAATTCTTGACAAGAACAATTTAGAAACAAGGTAATACAATTTAAGACTGGTATGGTACAAAGTATGCATTTTTAAAAATAAATAAATAAATTATATAAACTATTTTTCTCTACTTTTCCATTTTTTTTTTTTTAAAGTTTTTATCATGACCATCCCTATATCTAAAAGTAAATAATCTCTTTTATGTGTTGTGCTAAAATTGTTGATTTCAAATCCTAAGGTTGAATACTTAAATGCGGAAGTTCCAATTACAAGAGATCTCAACTGTGTAAATTCAAAGGTAAGACTTTGCTTTACCACCCAAGCTATCACAAGTGAAAGTCAGTGTCCAAGTGGGTGAATATATATATGACCCCATCCTTTGGACCCAATTGAACAAAAGGTTCAACATCATTGGTCCCATATCCACTTGTCCATGTTACATTCATCTGATTTTTAGTTCAAAATGAGACTTTTAAAACAAACAAAGCATTTAAGAAAAAAGAAAAGAAAAGTAAATGGAACAGCAGCGTTATGATGATTTCTTTCTTCCCATACATTTGCTTATGTAGGAACTTCCTTATCATTGTTATGTCATGTATCTGAGTTTTATGCACTAGAACAGAAGAAATTGAACTTACCTCATTCCATAACTTTTCCAGTGCCAGGTGAGAGTAAACTTGTGCATTTGGATTTTCAAAAGCTATTTTATTAAACATTGTCACTCGCTTTGGTATCATGCAATAAATGGAAACAAGTAAGTAATTGCATTGTGTTAGGAACTGGAGTCAAGAATTAGGAATTGAGAGTGAACAAATTGAATCTTTATTGCTTGTAACTCTACTATGTCTGATGGTATTTAATATGCCTTAGGGTTACCGGTCACTTGAACCTTCATAAATGGTTAGGAAGAAAGCAGTCAACCTATAACTATGTTTTTCATCTTTGGAGAATATTGAAATTATGTATGTATAAGCAGTTCATAGATCCAGTGTGCTTAGACTTCCTATGTACAAGAAGACAGCTGAGGACAACAACCAACAACAAAAAAAGGAAGAAAAAAATGATTTACATTAGCCCAAAATGCAATAATTATCTGGATAAACTTATTAAAAGAGTGTCAATTAATTGCTTTGCATAACATCAGAAAGAAGAGAATATGACCTTGTTGAGCAGGACCCACCAAGCCCAAATTGAATGTTGTTATCCAAGAAAATAAAAAATTGAAGTGCTTCAAAGTTTGTGAAATTGAGACTCACTTCTTGAAAGAACATGTAATGTTGAATCCTTCCTCAACCGTTGTTTTGAGTTGTTTCTTCCAGACGTGATGGTTTAATCCTTGAGATAAGAAGTAGCCAGTGTTTAAAGTTCATGCATTTAAGCCAACCCAATTTTTGAAAGCAATAAGTGATTCCATTTTTCTGAAACTTCTTTTTCTTAACTTTGCCACTTTGAGCTTTTTATGGGTCTCCATGAATGCTTGTTTGTATCTCCACTTATCAACAAAAATTTTCATCTCATTAGATTTCTCCACAACTTGCATAACAGCATCAAAGAAACCTCCCTTGACCATAGCATACAGGAATGCATCAACCAGATTGTGGTCAAATTTGATCCCCTTCTGCCCATCTGCTGATAGCTTTCGCTTAACCTCATTCCACAACATCAGTACAACAAAATATTTCTCTGCCAACACATACCCATTAATCAGGGACAAGTATGTCTGGTCATTTGGCTCAAATTGCAGGAATATCATCCTTCTGAAAGTCCTTCTTGCATCTTCTAGCCTCCCAGCTTTACAGAAAGCATGGATGATAGAATTCCAATCATGAGTACCTACTTCAATCCGAGGATCCTCAACTACCTCATCCAAGAAAGCTGCCATCAACTCAGGTCGATGATTCTCCATCAAACCCGTCATTATAGTTAAGTAACTCCCTTTCAAGTCAGGAATCCTTGCCTCTCTCATGTCCCTAAACAGCGAAAATGCTGACTGAAAATCTTGGCTAGACATGGATGCTTCTACCAGAGCATCATAGGTTTCCGCATCCAACTGAAGACCTGAACTACTGATCTCCATCACCAATTGAGTAGCCTCAGCAGTTCGATTTTCTTTGCAGTAAGCCTTCAAGATTGGTACATAGACCCCAAGACCCACAGAGCCTCCCAGAGCATTTATTTCATCAAGAATGCTATGAGCTTTGTCTGATAGCCCAATACTAACACATGCATTAACAATACCATAACCTATAGAGTTATCAACTATGATATTTGAAGGCTCTAGCTTCTGAGCTTCAATAATCAAATTAGCTAATCCTTTTATATTTCCCTTCTGAAGACATTCCTTAACTACTGCACTGAAAGTTTCTCCACAAAAATTCCAATCTTTGCCATCCCCATCATTCAAACTACTGAGAATAGTTGACTCCACGGAAGCTAAATTGCCTGACTTAACATACCCATTAATCAAATTAGTATAGAAACCCTTCTTATTTGAGCAACCAAACCCAGCCATTAAAACTTCTAACTCATTTATCTTTTCTTGTAACCCCTTCAATGCATACAAATAACCAAGAAATCCAAAACTCAATTCATCTGGTCTAACACCCAGATTTGACATGGCTCCAACAACTCTCTCAGCATCACTCAATGATTCAAGCTCACAACAGCAACCTTCCAGTGCTGCATTACAAGCAGAAACATCAGGTTTCATGAATTCCAGCTTCTCATCCAAAGCAACCCTACAGCACTCTTCAAAAACCCTCAAGAAAGCAGCAAGGTTACCATTCTTCCTGCAAATCTCAACAAGAACATTGCCCCAAACAGAAAAAGGAACAAAAAACCTGTTCTTGAACATGCACCTGACAAGGGCAAAAGCAGGGGCAGCAGTGTTGGCACACCTCATGGAATCAAGCATGACATGAACAGTATCAAAATCAAGAACCATAGGGTTCCTCTCCATGAGGTAGACCACAGAGGCAAAAGCTCTCTTGAGGTTGTGAATGTCACCATGAGAGGACAAGTGGGTGATGAGGGAATTTGTGAGGGGCTTAGTGGGGAAGGCTTGGTGAGTGGTGAGGGCCTTGAAGGACTTCCAAGCCTCATCAGTGTCACTTGTGATTAGGGATTTGTGAAGGGTGGTTTGCAAGGTGGCTACTTGGTCATTGGTGAGGGATTGTGGTGGGCAAGTTGGAAGCTTGTGGGGTTCTTCTTCACAAATGGGTTGGTTCTTGTTCTTATTCTTGTTCCTGCTGAGGGCAAACACTGAAGGTTGAAGAAAGGAGTAAAGGCTCGGGATTTCAGGTGTGGATGACAATGGTCTTTGGGGAATAAAGCACAAAACTTTTTTGGCCATTCTTGATAAAGCATCTACCTTGATCCAATGGGTTTTCTCAGTTTTCGTTTTCCATTTGTTTTTTTTCTCCCTGTTTGCAATTGATCAGCAGGTTAGAGATTGTCGAGAGTTCATGTCCTTCTTGTGTCGTTTTAATATTTGTGATTTCAAAATTATATAATTTTCTTTCATTTTAATGTAACATGTGTATTGCATAGGGTTTTTGACATACGGTCGATGTACCCACAAAAATACGTGTAGTGTTTATATTGAAAATAAAATATACAAAAAAAAAAATCTTTGTCGTATCATATATGGTGTTGTGTTAATACAAATTTGATTCATATTTTTTTATTTTTTTAAATTTGACCTATTTTTGTTGTCAATTACCATTTTGACCTATGGTTTACATGTTATTCGTGTTGTATTATATCAATCTATAAAAAATTAATATCGCATTCATATTAAAGATTCTCACATGAATAAAAATTTATGTCGTGTTTATGTTATGCATTTATATCATATCAAATTCGTATTATGCGGATCTATTTTGATATCTTTTTGCATAACTGAGGAGAGAGAAAAAAATTGTACATAAAAAAGAAGGTAATCAAATATAAAAATATAATTATTTTATTTAAAATAGCATAAAATTATGTCTTTTAAAATTATAAATATTTTTCCTTTAAATGATTTAGATTTTCACTAACATGTACGTTACTTTTTTTTGTTTTTATTAAACAAATATAATTTAAATATCCAATATCGTCTCATCTTAATTAGACCAATAAATTTAAAATTATGTAAATGATAGTTATAAATTTTGTTTTTAAATAAAAAATTATATTAAGGAAGGATAGAGAGGTTTACCAAAAAAAAAAGGAAGGATAGGAGACCTCATTAAAAATTCATGATTAGATTATATATTACCTGGAGGAGACATGTGAATTGAGCTCAATTCACATCAAAATGGATAAAAAGTTTGATAAGTGTATTAACCTTCATTGGCATCCTTTGACTTTCTTTTCCGAAGAAATGTCATTGAACATATTGTTATATATTTAGTAATAAAAATATTAATGGAGAAATCACAAATGATATTATAATTCTAAGGAAAGAAAAAAGGGGTGATATTTTAGTTATGTTAATTACTGACATGATATTTTTTCCTTAGATCTTATTATTCACGTGAGTTTTTTTTTTTTTTTTAAACATAGTATTTTTAAAGTTAACTATACACATTTTTTGGTGCTTTGTTTTACTAAGTTTGACCTTATGTTTGGATTTTCTTATTAATGAAATGGAATGGAACAAGAGAAAAAAAATTGAATGGTGCAGGGGAGGAATGACAAAATGTTGTTCTCTTATTTGAAAGATTAATGAGGGAATTGAACCAAACTGAATTACCTTATTTGAGATTTTTTTTTTGATACATTGAGAATTAATTATAAATTAACGGAATAAAATATAAAATACTTATATTTGACTTGTAAAAGTTTGCTTTTCTATTTAGGAAACAAAACTTGGTTTTTGAAAGGAAGAGAATGAGACTATATAAAAAGGCCTCTTTGATTTCTGTTTTATAGTTTTTATTTTTATTTTTTAAAAAAAATTTATTTAATAGTGAATGTTTTGCGACAACAATTCTAAAAGCAATATTTTCTTTGTAATTTTTAGAATAGAAATTAGATAAATTATAAAGGAAAAAAATTTCAAACCATCCTTCCTAAGTAACAACTAGAGGTGTTCATTAACGGATCTAAACCAATTCAAATCGCGGTGACCGAACCGAAAAATCAATAACTGAATAAATCGAAAACTGAAAAACCGAAAAAAAAATCGGTAAATTTTAATTGGATTGAATCGATTGATGAAAACTGATCCAATCCAAACTATTCCAATATATTAATTTCCCTCTACCTACTTGGGTATTTCTCCAATTATAGCCAAAAAATTTCTAAACCCAAGACCCATTAACCCATCAACTAAATCCAAGAAAAAATATAGTCACATCTCATCAACAAAATTTTATCTTTGTAGAGCTTCATATTTCATTGTCTAAAAAAAAACTATATTATAGTTTACTAATGCTTTTGTATTTCAAAAAAAATAAAATACAAAGTCAATATATACAAAAGATGTTATTTGCACAATAATCATGAAATAAATTTAGGATTTAAAAAAAATAAAAAATCGATCCAATCCAAACCGAAAAAATTGGATTAGATCGGATCGGATCGGATTTGAAAAAAAACTCAAACCGAATGGATGATTATACGATCAAACCGAAGGAATTGGATCAGATGATTTTTGCTTCCAAAACCGATCCAATCCAGACCGCGAACACCCCTAATAGCGACATAGAAATTATATATTACATACTTATGTTTATCTTGCATACTAATTTCTAAATGATAGATGTTATACATCTTGTATAATGGACAAAATTGTCGTGGGATATTTACCAAACTGACACCCCTTTAATAAAAATTTACCGGATTGTCACGTCAAGAATTTTTTTTGCTAAAATGCCATGTCACAATCCCGCTAGTCTAACAAGCGGGAATGAATTGGACACGGGGCAACGTCTGAATGGTGAACCATTCTAGCTAAGCAGCCCAGCTCGAATGACAGAATGCAGACACGTGGCAAAAGTACAGTCATTCTATGCAAAAGTACAAAACACCCGTACTTTTATCATGTGTTAGCATTTTGTCATTCGCGTTGGGCTGTCCAGCTAGAATGGTTGACCATTCAGACGTTGCCACGTGTCCAGTTCATTTCCGTTTGTCGGACCAGCGGAATTATGACGTGGCTTTTTTTCAAAAAAAATTTCTGACATAGCAATTCGGTAAATTTTTACATAAAAAGTGACAATATGGTCATTGTCCCAGAAAGTCTGTGCCAGCAGCCGCGGTAAGACAGAGGATGCAAGCGTTATCCGGAATGATTGGGCGTAAAGCGTCTGTAGGTGGCTTTTTAAGTTCGCCGTCAAATCCCAGGGCTCAACCCTGGACTATAATGGGTTCAATATTGTTCAAATCATATTAGTTAGATAATTAATAAATCAATGAATATATATATAAAAAATATCTTAAGTACGCCATAAATAAGATGGTCGTATTGGGCCTTCTTTGTTTTGGCATTGACTTCAAGGCAATGTCAACTTATACGAAGGTTCTTAGAAGTTTTGTTTTTATGTAGAATATAAGGTAATATGAATGAACATTATAATTGTTGTAGGTAAATAAGTGTATGCAATTGCTTACGATAGCATTTATGCAGTTTAAGGGCTCGTTTAAATAAAATTAATTTGGGTGATGCAATTTGCCCAGTTTGCAACCAAGAAGTTGAAAGCACTTTATATTTGTTAAGAGAATGCTCGTTAATCAAAAATGTCTGGTTAAAGTTGTCCCCTCAATTGGCTGTTCTTTTTTCTTTGATCTTAACTTGCAGGATTGGGTAATGTCAAATTTAAAGAACTTCTCTACATGTTATTTTAACTTATAATGGACGTTGTTATTTGGTGTAATGTGTTGGAAAGCTTGGTCATGGAGAAATGAGATTCTTCACATTGCAGGAGGAATAGAAAACAGGTATAAAATAGAGATTATAATTTCATATGCTAAGGAGGTGCTTTTAGTTTGTGAATCGGATAACAAAGGGATTTGTGATAGATCTATTCCACTAAACATGATTAGGTGGGAGCCTCCTGAGTCCTGAGTATGGGTGGATAAAAATAAATATCGATGGGGCTTCCAGAGGTAACTCGGGTAGAACTGCTTGTGGTGGTCTGATTCGTGGTTCAGACGGTAAGTGGTTGGAAGCTTTCTCTTACAGGGTGGGTTACTGCAATGTAATTACTGTTGAATTGTGGGGTATCCTAAAAGGGATGGAGAGAGCTTGGGTAGGTGGATGGAGGAAGATTATTATTGAAAGTGATTCAATTTATGCTATCACTCTGCTCACCAAATCAGGTGATGCATCCTATGAGTCTCATTTAGTGACTCGTATACGGGAATGACTTTTAAAAAATTGGTCGGTTCGATTGTTACATTCTTATAGAGAAGGTAATGTTTGTGTGGAATAGTTAGCTAATCTTCTGCTGGAGAATTCGGATTAAGAAGATTTTATTTTATTTCAATTTCCCCCTCGTAAGATTAGATGGTTGTATTTTTTTGATTTTAACTCTGTTCACAGGGTTAGACATTCCCTTATGTAATTTTTACTTTTGTGTTTTGTTTTGGGGCATAGCCCCTCACAAAAAGGGGCTCGTTTTGTGAATAAAATATAGATGATATGATATGATAGATTATCATATTTGACTCTTATGCTCGATAAGTTAAAAGGACATGATAAACTTATCATGTAAACTCATTTTATCATACTCACAATCTGAGAGGCAATCATAATGAATGCTTGGGGTTATGTTTGAATATGGTAGGATATGAACATAGCTATCACTATTTAGCCCCCGCAATCGAGCACCATTAACAATGATGCCATCGCCACTACCATTGTCATGAACCACTATCACCATCGTCCCACACCCACTATCAGTATCATTGTTACCACCATCATCACAACCACCTAACAATCAATTCAAAACATTTTTAAAAATTTAATTGGTCAAGGTATATATTTTTTAGTTTGGAAAAATTTAATAAGTTCTTTTATGTATTTTAATATATTTTATTTAAAATTATGATTTTTATTTTTTTAATAATTTAAATAGAAACTAATGTATAAAATAAGTTAAAAGAAGAAATAGTTTAAAAATTAATTATAAAAATAAACTATATAAAATTTTGTTACAAAGAATATTTTTCTTCATTTATATAATTTTGTACATTATTTTTTTCACGTCAAACTTAGGATAAGGTGGCGTTATATTATTAGATTGTTTATGACTTTATGGAATGTACATGAGACACGGAACATGGTATAAACTCAAAAAAACCCATGTTATTTCCTATTCTTATAATATTCTATTCCCCTAAAATCTAAATGTTAAAAGAAAAATAACTTCAAATGATAAAATCAATATCATTCTCGTGCCAAAAAATTGCTTATTATTTTATTTCCTCTTAAAAGGATAAAATCATCATTCCTCTTATAACATTGTATTAATTACAAGTATAATAAAATTATGGTCAAAATTCACAATAAAAAGAACAAGCCTGAAAAAACCTCTTATTCATTAAGCCCCATAAACCATTATTTTCCATGTACACTGGTATTATAAGTGGAAATAGAGCTTTCCACTTTTCAAAATGACTAGTGATAAGAATTGTTACAATTTAGTAAATAGCTAAATGCTTCTTTAGCCACCGCAATTCCATTGATAATACTGGCAACTACAATTGATATCAGAGAAAATATTAATCAAAGCTCTCATGAATGTACTTAAAAATCACAAAAGGAGTGTGATATGAGCTTGATTCATATATAAAAGAATTATGTCATCGGATTCGATCACATTAAATTACTTGGCTATTCCTATTTTCCCACGTTTGAAAATCATATTAGCCACATTAAATTATTTTCGGTTAAATTACTTAAATTTATTTGAATTTACAATCAAATGAAAGATAATTATATTTTGATATTAAACTAATTTTTTTAATTTTTAATTTATTTTCCCACGTTTTTTTAAAGCATGGTATTTTTTTAATTTAAAGTTAACTATATATTTGTTTTTTGGATACTGTGTTTTACTCAACTTGTGTTTGGATTTTTTTCATCAATAAATTGGAATGAAACAAGTTGAAAAAAAAGGGCTTGAACTCTTACCAAAAAAAGAAAAGAAAAGGGCTTGAACAAACTCAATTCCATTATTTTAGAGTTAATAGTAGGCAAAAAAAAGTTTATGATGTTACTTTAGATAACTTTATCTAATGTTCATTGAAACGATATCGTTTTGGATTGAAAAATTAAAAAATTAGAATTATAAAGACTATTATAACGCTGAAATAAATTAAAATTACAAAAATACCATGATTTTTGTCCCAAAACAATGTCGTTTTGATGAACATTAGATAAAGTTATCTAAAGTAATTTTAGGAAAAACAAACCCTTAGTAATAAGGGAAAAATGTTTGTACACACAATTTATATTCTTTTATTATCACAAAGAGGTGGGACCCACACCTTTATATTTTTTTGTCCACTCTCTCCTCCTTTATCTATCACTTTCTTTCACTTAAAATGATACAAATTTACATCCTTTAAAATAATACACATTTTTCCCTAATAATAAATCAACAAAATAAAATATAAAATACTTACATTTGACTTAAAAAGTTTACTTGTACGACGTGTGAAGTAAGGTGTACAAATTTACCTGTCAAAGTCACTTGAGTTTTTAAGATTCCATAACAACCTCCGAAGTCATCATAGGTTTGGAACTTCACCGATCCTTCATTGTCTCTTCTAACTCCTTTAGTTCACTTCATCTGGGAATGAAACCATTGCCCCAAAAATCATCATCTTATTCTAGAAAGACCATAACATTGGAAGAATGGAATGGTTCATCATCCGCAAAGCTCTCAAAAACTTTCACCATCAAGGCTTCATCTTCCTCTGTCTCTATTCAAAGGTTCTTCCTTCCCTTTTTCCCATCATCATCACCCAATTTTCTCTTTCTCTCTATTCACACTTCTCTTGTTTTTATTTCTCCTTTTACACAGATCTGGTGCCCGCTTCACACATGTTTGGAGACGATTACTTCAGGCATTTGTCCCTGAGGCAAGTTTCTATTTTTAACTCGAAATTGTGTAAACCACTACTATATCAGTATGTGCTTGTTCTTTTGGTTCATCATTGTAAAAAAGGGTTTATGTTTTTTCTTGTTATTTGATTACATACAGGGTTTTCCTAGCAGTGTGACTGCAGATTATGTTCCTTTTCAAATATGGGATTCGTTGCAGGTAACTGTACTATGAAGAAAAATGGTGATTAAGTTATTATTATATCAAAACAATGTTATTGTTCTCGAGTTAATTATGGATTCAATATGGCAGGGCCTTTCAACGTATATAAGGACCATGCTTTCTACCCAGGTAAGGCATTGTTTCACTGTAATTTTGTAGTATTTTTTGTCATGCACAGATCAGAATAGTACATGATGAGTGGTCAACAAAATCCCTTTCAGGCTCTACTGAGTGCTATTGGGGTTGGCGAGAAATCAGCTACAGTCCTTGGTGCTACTTTTCAGGTACCTACTAGTTATATTCTGTATTTACTTGATTAATGACTGAACCCTGGTTTGTAAGATCGGGCTTGGGAGACGAAGCCTCAAGCCTTTTGTGTGCGGCGCGTTCGTGCTTTGTTTATTTATTTATTTACTTTGGTGCATAGCCTTTTGTGTTTCTTAGGCTGCAATGTATTGACAATATGATATTGAACATTGAACTATTTCCAGTGGTTTTTAAGGGATCTAACTGGCATGCTTGGAGGAATCTTATTCACATTCTACCAGGTCTGCATCTCTCATGCAAAAATATTTCTTCTTCCATATTAATTTTGAACTGAAATATGCATTACTAACTTTATCTGGATCATCCTACACTTGGTTGTATACATATGCCGATTCACTCCTCTCAAAATGATTCTATAATCATGTTCTTTTAACTGTATTTCAATTTTTCCATTTTTCCCATATGCTGCAGGGATCAAATCTTGATAGCAATGCAAAAATGTGGCGTTTGGTTGCAGATTTTATGAATGATCTTGGTAGATTACTTTCATCTTAATCTTTAAATAAAAAATTACACAACCATTTTCTTTATGCAGTCTCTCTCTGAAGTATAGACACTGGCCTATAATAATTCTACACAGTCGAGTCCTAGTTTAATAGTATGTAAATTGAAGGATTGAGATTGGGAATAACTAAAGGGGTGGAAAAGGAAGGGAGCTTGTTTTAGGACTTTTATGGATAGAATCATCTACAAATTCTTCAAAAGAGTATTTTTTTTTCTACCTTAAATCATTTGGGTTCAATATTTACTGGTATATTTTAATTGCTTCCACATAGACCAACATTGAGGCTAAGATGTGCTTCATTCTCTACTTACAACAGAATAACATTGTGCTTAAGCTATTGGGTGAGGCTATATTAATGGATTTATATATCTCTAACATATCCTTTCACACGAGAGCCTATTGGGCTTGAACGGTGGATGATGCATCAGGTCCAGCCTACCTGTGCTAAGAAACTTCACAAGACTTAATTAATTATTAATTAAATGGGGGGGGGGGGGGAAATCAAACCCGTGACACCGAGGCTCTGACACCATAGAAAGAACCAATTCAGCCCAATAGCTTAAGCTTTTGGTGAGGCTATATTAATGGTTTTATATATCTCTAACAATTACAACTAATACCGGATATGTAATTCTATTCCATATTTCCTGCCCTGCCACATTGGAGGAGATTTGTCAATTATATAGTACTAATCAATATACTAATGTTATAATTGGGCTATATTAATGGTAGACGTCATTGCTGCATTGTTGATTATTTAAATGGAAATTTTTGTATTAGCAGGATATAACAGTTGTCATAATGGAGTTAGTATCTTCTTCCCCTAGGAGAGTTAAGGAAGAGAGAGAGACTTCCTCTAGTTTCTGCCAACTGTTACAGTTTAATTTCACAAATTGAAAAAGAAAGAAAAGTCTTTGAAGAAAGCAATATGATCATATATTTGTTTTTTCTTTTTAAAGCTTTATTGAGAACTGCTCATTTTTGGGTGGAATAATGTTTCATGGAAACATTCTTCTGATTATGCATTTGCAATGTCTTCCAAAGCCATTGACTTTGTTGAGTATGATTTATTTGCTGTTCTCAACTGATTTGAATACTGATGCAGATTTGCATATATGAAAGCTTTGATTTTGCATATTGTATGCGGAGCTCATGATATGCACATCTTGTTGGTATATTGATATATTGAGACTATATGCAGAGAAGTTCTATTTGGAATGCTTTACTTGGGAACTAATGTCTAAATCTCTAGTTGTTTGTTTCGTTAAGCTATAACGGAAGCTCATTAGTATCTTTCACTGATGCTGCTCTGTGTTAAATCTGATCTTTCTTATTGCCTTCTTCATATCCGATATTGATTTGATTAGGTTTTTGCATTGATTACAGGAATGCTAATGGACCTCATTTCCCCATTGTTTCCATCAGCTTTTGTGTATATTGTTTGCCTAGGAAGCATATCAAGATCATTCAGTAAGTTCTAACATTTCTGGAAGTACAAAAATACATTAATAACATGATTTGAAATTAATTACTAGCTGTATATTTTTTCGCTTTTTGTTTTGCATGTAAGTAATTTTGTAAGGAGTATAAGTTAATGTCACATTAGATGATCTGACATTTCCTAACAGATTAAGCGGTTTGGCAGAAGTATATGTTTTGATTTATCCAAGATTAGGACATTTTTTATTTATTTTATATCCTGATTGATATTTTATTTGTATCCTAATTTTTTATTTTAATATATTGTCTCTCAAAATATGATTTTGAACTAGCTGGTGTTGCAAGTGGAGCGACTAGAGCAGCTTTGACTCAGCATTTTGCTCTTCAGGATAATGCTGCAGATATATCTGCTAAGGTATAACTTGCATTCATTCTAACTGTTTAGATTATTTGCTGAGAATTAAGTTTTTTGTTCAGTAGGGTGTGTTTTCTTTTTTAAAAAAATTGACTTATAAACATGTATCTATAGGAAGGAAGTCAAGAAACTGTGGCCACAATGATTGGCATGGCTTTGGGAATGCTTGTTGCTCGCATTACCATTGGACACCCACTAGTCATCTGGCTTTCTTTTTTATCTCTGACCCTGTTTCATGTTTATGGTAAATTTATAAATTGCAATTTGTTTTATGCATATCCTTTACGTTATAGAATTGTGAAGAAAAATATGATATTAGGTATAAACCTGTCTCTTGCGTATTGCTTTTGTTGTACAAGCTATAACTAAAAGAAAGAGGGAATCCTTGGGCATATGTACCTTATCAATTAGTAAAAGGAGGTCATAGATTGATGGTATTAGCATGCTGAAAGTGATATAGTTGGTCCATTTCGTCACCAGTGTGTCTGGGACAAATAGATAATCCATTTTTTCCTGGTCACTTCATAGGTAATCTTTGCTTGTTTATACCAACAAATGTTTTAATCTTGTGGAATATTTGTTGGTGGTTTGTGATAGAATGAAGAAGGATTGAATTTCTATTGTCTCATTACATGCTTAAACTTTATAGTTATCACAATTGAAAGCATTGTCTGCTCTCCTTAATTTGATCCCATTTCCTTTGTGAAGTTGAGAGCTCATAATTTTAATCTGAAGTGGATGGATGCCTTTTCCTACGCATATCTTTTTTATTTTCTAAATACACATGTTAAATCTGACCACCAGCATCATATATGAAAACCTGATAATGTAAATGATGTCTCTTTTCCATGCAGCAAACTACCAAGCTGTTCGATGCTTGGCATTGACCTCACTAAACCCTGAAAGGAGCTCTATTCTTTTGCAGCATTTCATGAAGACTGGCCAAGGTATTGTCTGTTATTCTTCTTTGGTTTCTTGTATCCACAATATATCTTTGATGTTAGATATTCCAGTGTGCCATTTTTAATTAGCATAACATTTACCGTATCTTAGAACAAGGTTTTATAACCTCGAGATGATTATACTCTAATTTCAATTGTTTGGAGGTTGTATTTTTAACCCCACCTCCCCAAAACAAGGTTGGCTTGGTAGAGTCAGCATCCTGTCAAGGAAAACGTAATTTCCAACACCTCACGATAGGTACCAGAGAATCAGAGTGAATAAAAAGAAAGTCTGAATGTATATTGGTAATAATTTCTGGGAAATCCAGGTTACAGTATGGTAACTAAAGAAAGAAAATATTACTGGCACACTGGCTCTCCTAATACACCAGAGTTGTCCCAAATTCACTCACCAAATGCCTACCTCCCTGCGTGACCCATTCCCTTTTAATTCTTGACCTCATAACAGAATTCCTATCCCATAACAAAATTCCTTCACGCATTCCCCAATCCTGAGCATAAGTGTCAGCCACCAAGTATAATAGATTGTCTACATCATTGCTTATCCTTCCTAGTGTTGACTCTAGTCACCACATACCTATCAATACCTCCACCTTAAGATTCATCTTGTTCTCAAAGTGAAGGCGACCGGAGATACGGTCTTTCCCCTGGGATCCCATTGTGTGAAATTTAAGGGCCAACTGATGTGTAAAGCATTATAGCTTCCACCGGGATCCCATTTGCTGCCTTCATCTCTCCTACAACAACAAGCGACCACAAAGATGGAATCAAGCCTAAAAACCCCTTGAAGTTTAATAAAATCCAATTAATGATGACAATTCCGCAATTGTCTCACATCAAGTGACTGGGCATGAAAATAATATCTCTTTAACATTAGCCTCAAAAGTACTAATCTTTGAATACAACCTGCAAGCATCATGATAAAGCTGTTCTCCAATGATTCTGTACTTTTGTAGGACTATTGAACTAGTCAATCCCATATATGAATCCATCATATCTTGGATAATGCAATCCCATATATTAATCTTTTTTTCATTATCACTATATATATTAAGGGTTTTATAAGAGTTATGTTGTAGGAAAAATGATTGTGTAATGTTATAGAGATTCGTTTTGTGTGTCGTAATTTTCTTTTTTTCTTTTTTCTTCAAAAATTGTGGGCTCCACAAAATGTTGTGTGTGTAGGAAAGTTTGTTGTATCATGTTAAATGACAAATATAAACCCCATATATTAATGCTTGCGTCTAAACTTTTTGCCAGTTCTCTCCCCTGAACAGGTCTCTTCAAAAGAGCATGTTTTACCCATACAGCTCACTTCATGGAGCTCAAAGAATGCTATTTCTCTGGATACAAAAGTACGTTTAGGCATGAGGATTTCTTCATTTGATAACATGGAAATGTGAGTGGCTTAAATTTGGTCTGTCCCTATTCTTTTAGGAAATAAATCTGTCCTCGGTGCATCAACTATACTTTTGCAACCTTTTCTGATTCACTGCATTATTAGTCTTTTCCTGGATCCCCGGACCAAATGTTATTCGAGGCAATGATCCACTATATTGTGTTATAGCTTGTAATAGCCCAAATCATAATTATACTGTTGTGCTGTGTCATCATTAGCGAACAATGCGCCAAATAGTAACTTGTTCATGATTGAAAACATTAATTAGCTCTTTCCCTGCTATATCATTGGTATTGGCTCAAAGCTTACGCTGTCCATGATTATGGTTTGATTACTGAGCAAATTCTTTTTATATGTGACACTGACAGCCAGGAGCATTTGCTTTCTGCAGTATCTTACTACACAAAAGGTTTACTTCTCCTCGTATTATTTTAACTGCCAACTTTCCCCTCTTCAGCTGAAGGATCAAACCTTACTTCATTCTTTGTTGTTTTTGTGTATAGCCAAGTACTTACTAGTGGAAAGGAAGGGAATCATTAAAGTTATTGTGCATAAAGATTCAAATGCTGCGGATATCCTAAAGTCATTTATTCATGCTCTCGTCCTGGCAAATAATGTTAATAAAAGCAAATCTTTGCACTCAGAAGGCCAAATGTGGATGGATAATCAGTATGAAGTATTTATCCAGAAGGTACTTCTTTAAGCATCTAGTTAAATTCTATTTAGCTTTTTATTTATGTTCTTTGATTTCGTAAAGTTGTGATATACTAATCTTTTCCCTGTTGATGAATATATAAGAATATTTATGATATGGGAATCTGAGTAAATTGATAGAATGCCACCTTCTCTTGCTTGAATTTTATATCCAGTAAGTGGGAGATTAAGTTCACTCTTTTTGTTTGTGCAGCTCAAGTCATTAGGCTGGAAAACAGAACGGCTTCTATCACCTATAATATGGAGGGCAAACTGGATCTATGAACCGTTGGAAGAAAAAGTTGATTAGGGTCATCTCCAGATTTTATACATATAACATTTTTCTAGAGAAGTTGACTAGTGGCAACTCCGGTTGGATTGAGGTTATTTGATGTGGAGTTGAATTTTGATGCTTTTTCCAAAATTGGAGTGGTTATATGGTTGACAATGTTAGCATATGATTTTTTACAAGTTATTTATGATTTCACTGACATTCTGTCAAGATAAAGAAAACTTGACCAGGTTATTCTTGCAATTGCACCCTTATTTCTCTCCTCTACCAGTTTGGAAAGAAAGGAAGGGGAGAGGGTGGTGGTTGGTTGAGTTAGAAGTGCAGTAAAAGCATCGTGGCTTGTGTACATATGCTCTAAGTGAAAAGCTCAGTTAGTGGTTTAAGCCACCGTGTATGACCTTGCTGGAATATCAATTTTTTTTTTTTAAATTATTAAAATTACAGGTTATATTGTTTCAATTTTTCTTATGACTAGTAATCATTTTGGCCGGCTTATTTTCAGCTTCTCTTCTTGAAGAACCGGGCCAAATTATTTTAACCATGGCAAAGTCCAAACAGGCTAATCTCCGGTTGTAGCTTAGAAACAATTGTGTTTTGTATGAAATCAACTTTTAGGGCATTTGGTAGTTGGGATCATTCCATGGTAATTTAATCAAGAAGGATACTAATTGCCATACCAATCATGGTTGCCAATGTTTCTTGTCTTGTTTTTTTAGTTATCAACATGTATCTGTACTATTAATTGCCATACCAATCATGGTTGCCAATGTTTCTTGTCTTGTTTTTTTAGTTATCAACATGTATCTGTACTATTAATTGCCATACCAATCATGGTTGCCAATGTTTCTTGTCTTGTTTTTTTAGTTATCAACATGTATCTGTACTATAGAAGGATGGAACATTGGCAATCATGATTGGTTTTACATTTGGTATGCTTGCTATTTGAATTACCATGGACTGATCCCAAAGTTCAGTCTCCTTTCAGTTTACTTAGTTATGTTCTTGGTGGATACATAGGCACTTCTCTAATTCTTTAGATACCCAATTCAATATACAAACATTCATTTAATAAATCAACAAGGCCTTGGATTGATAAATCCTCATTGAGGCATATGACATATTTTAACTTTGTAAGGAGACTACTCCTTTTTCAAAACTTATAAGTTGAAAAAAAAAAAAACAAAATCTAAGAACTCCGGCTCAAGTGACAACTTGTTTTTCAAATCAAATTCCATCCAAGCCGTTTGGCCTATCTTCATACTTCCATCCTAACCAGAACAAATCAAAAAATTGCCTAATAATCTGATATAAAGTACCAGTGGTTTTACAAAGAGCACCTTCAAGAATCCAAACAACACCAATTGGCAATTTGTCGTGCCCAGCAGTATGAGTACGAGTAGTGGTTTGTCAGCCAAAAAAACAACACAAGATTGAAACTGAATCAGATTGCCAACTCTTACGATAAAGTACGGAAATTTTATGAATATAACAGGCTCTACGGCTGCAACAAACTTTTTCTTAAAAAATAAATAAAAAATAGTGTAGACAAAATGAGTTAGAGAAAAAAGATTTACACGAGTTACAAAGTAATATATGAGGGCTACAGAGCAGCACCAAGGAAAACCATAATCATAATCCAAATCTATCTAAAACATGAATACACATCTATTACTTCATTAATATGTTTCATTTTTGATTGTTTTTCAAATGATGACCACTCCCAATCTCTGCATACAAATATTTTAAATTTTAAACTAGCCCCATCTACCTGAAAAAGAGCTAAATATATTGCTGAATGAAGAAGCTCCTGATGGCATATAGTTAAGGCATATATTGTTTTAAGTTAAAATCAAGAAGCTCCTGATGTCATCCATTTAAAGAAATCAAAAGTGGGTCAAAACTGAATTTACAATTCTTACAGTGCATTGCAGCCTTAACATACTACACATCAATATCAGAACTACCTTGTTTTTACATGTCTTTTCTTGTCCTTCCAGAACTCATCTTTTTTTGTCTTCGCTTTCACAATGCCCATCTTACTATGGATTATACCAGCCAAGGCTCTCCTATCCTTCTTGTTTTTCTTCTTAGCTTTGACATCAAGAATATCCCGAAGCTTCTGGTAAGAATAGGAATCCATCACCTGCCCACTCTTGATCATCTTCTTGTGATAAAAAAATGCTCGCTTAAAATCTCTAACACGAATAAAGGCATATATCATAGTTGAATAAGTTACAGAATCTGGTTTTAATTTAAGAACTGCCATCTCTTTCAACAGCTGTGGCAGCTTTGAGTGTTGCCCTCCTCGTGCATATGCATTCATCAACATATTGTATGTAATCACTGTTGGGTGCAATCCAACCTTCCCAAATTCAGATATTACATCTCTTGCTTCCATGAAGTGACCTTGTTTAGCAAAACCATCAACAAGAGTGTTGAATGTCACCAGTGTTCCTTCAACTTTCTCGCTCCTCATTGACTTCCATATTTTCATCAATGTTTGGGTGTCACCAGCACGCCTAAATGCATCCAGTAAAGCAGTGTAGGTTTCTATAGAAGGTTTAATACCTTCCCTTTGCATGTTTTCAAATGCCGCATAAGCTTTCTCATGCAAGCCACTAACTGAATACGCATGGATCATAGCTGTATAAGAATGTGAAGTAGGCTTTATGCCAACTTTCTTCATCTTCAAGAATGCATCTGCAGCCATGTCACTCATATCTTTCTGCTTCCCATATGCACTGATTAGACAGGTATATGAATGAGCATTTGGCTTCAAGCCAACATCCTGCATTTCTGCCAGCAGCTTCTCTACAATTTTATGTTGCATTCTTCTGCTGTATGCATGCATTAGAATGTTGAAGGTAGCTGCGGTGGGCTTAATCCCTTTAGCTTTCATCTCAACAAAAAGGCCTTCAGCTTCTTCTACATGGTTGGATTTACAATATGCATCCATCAGAGTGTTGTACACAATTGCATTTGAAGAGACCCCTTTCTTCTCCATTTCAGATTGGATGATGAGAGCTTCCCTCATCAGACCCTCAGAACAAAATGACTTTATTAACGCACCTAGGACTTCTTCACTCCATCTGACCCCTTTTCTGTTCATTTTCTCAAAAAATTGCCATGCATCTTTCGCACTACGGCCAATTTTTCTCATAACGGTAACCGTAATCGAGCATGTCACATGATCTGGACGAATATTATCTGTTTCCATTGACTCATACACCTTCCAAGCATCTTCATACCTAAGACAATCAGACAACCTTTAACAATGAACTCTTCCAATATGTGTATTTAAAAGAGGGAGAGAGAGGGGGGGGGGGGGGGGGGGGGATGCTGCCATATACAATGTAAGAACATTTGTCAGAGTAGGGAGAGATGAAAGAACTTTTTCTTTGATGGAGTCCAGAGAAAGGAATTAAATATCTTAATTATGATTATGTTCCTAACTTTTCATAGTTTTAAGTTTGGAAGCAGCACAGGGAACCTAAATAGGTGGGGTTATTTGAAATATCTTAATTCTTTGACAACTACCTACTGAAGTTTTATAAATTTTTTAGTTGTCCATAGGCTACTTAATAACAAACTAACTAAAAGAAAGGACTTCCATCTGCCATAATGGAAAACTAAATTGGTGTGAAGAGACTTGGGTATGGTTTGCTTCAACACCTGGAATAACCAATACCTAGCAAAATCAATCACACCATAACTATTAGCTTCCAATTTTTTTTTTTTTGAAGTTATATTCTATTAAGAAAAGTTATATTTCCACAATTTGGTACCTATAATAAAAAACAGAAACAGACATTTCATAAACAATATACTTCCAGTTCCACTTTTGAAATATAATATACAGAAACAACGGTTTTCCAACACAAAATTAATAATATAGAGCTATGAAACAAAAGTAGAGCCCATTAAGAGAACTAGCAAAGGATGTGAACATCCACCTGACACATCATGCCAAAACTGATGCACGAGTATCAGTACAGTGAATATTCATCTCATAACAATGTCTTGTTTGATCTTTGCTTAACTTTCCAAATGTCATCATTAATCAGAATTCCAGGTAAAGGATGTTGCAGCATGTCATTTCCAGTGTTAAGATTTATAAATGAGAACGAACATGCTTTATACTACTGCTTAGATAACAAGCTTGTAGCACAATGTTCATTTCTTTATTTTTGGAGAGAGGAGAATGATGATTAGAAGAACTACAATGGTGAAACAACTCAACTAGTATACAAGTTAAAATGTGTAATCATCCATCTAAGCAGAAAGAACAAGCTATATGACTTGCATCCTTTGTTGCAACTTATGTCAATCTTCCTAGAACCCACAAAAGCAGCAAGAGAGAAACAAGCAAAGCACATGATTATACAAGAATCTTGTACCTGGCACAAGACAGAAGGCCTGAAATTGCGGCATTATAAACATGAACATCTCTGAACTCCTTGCTAGATGGTAAGTTTCTGAACAAAAGCATCAACTTTTCACCCATCCCTGCTCTTCCCAACAATGGAAACAACAAAGTACAAGCCCGAGGTGTAACAAGTGATGGTTCCTGAAGCCTCATCCACTGAAAGAAGTACAAACAAGACACCAGAAGGTGCTCCTCCCCAAGTAATTCCAAGACCTGCCAACACTCTTTATCACTAACCCTTCCTTCATATTCAGCCAAAGCCTCCTCCAGAGTCAGATTTTGCGGCAAGTTCCTTGCAAGCTGAACAATTTCACCCACTACCCCTTCAGGTAATTCCTTCTTCTGAAACCCCATTTCTTCCTTCTCCTCAACAAACAAGTTGGTTTCCTCCGAACCCATTTCAGCTTCTTCAACAAAGTCGCTGGCTTCCGGAGCAAGATGCCATGAAATGCGACGGTTCTTCTGAATTGTCAATTTTCCTTCTGTTCCAGGGTCTTGGGAGGGAACCCAAGTGCGTGTTTTGAAGAATTTGTAGATTGGATCATCTGGGTCATGTGATTGTTCTTGCTCTTCTTCTTCTTCTTCCTCTTCTTCTATTGCTTCTATGCCTTGTTCTTGTTCTTGTTCTTGTTGTTGGAGATGTTGAAGGAAAATGGGGGTTGTTGAAGAGTGGGTGGCATTAGATGGTGATGCACATAGACAAACGGATAGAGAGAGTGATGAGGTTGGGGTTTTGGAGTGTAAGAGAAAGCAGGGTTTTGAAAGACCAAGAGGGTGAGTGTGGTGTGAAATGGAAGGGTGAAGGAAGAAGATGTTGGAAGAAGAAAGAGGGAGTTTGTGGTGTATGAGGCTCAGAGCCATGCTTTTCTATCTGCAAATGCAAAGGTTACCTTGTTAGTTCAGTCTGGTTCATGTCTTGTGTAACTAATTACTTCTATAAATTTGTGAAATTTGGGGGAAAATGATAATTGTTCTTGTCATGTGTGAATGAAATATGTGTTTTGTACAATGTTCAATGAAATATCTTTTATTTTTTTAGTGTGTAATTAGACCATGGGTGTGTTTGAATTTTGTTCTCAAAAACAAATTTTGAATTTTTTTCTAAAAAAAATAATAATAAAAACTTATTTAATAATATCTATTTTGTAAAAATAATTCTAAAATTATAATTATTTTTTAATTTTTAAAATCAAATTTAAATATTATATTTGAGTTTTTTCTTTATTTTATGTTTTGACTTTTAACTTTGAAAATAAAAAAAATACATAAAATATCTATTTCATTAAATATTCTACAGTTTTAAAAATAGAAAAACCTGAATACAATTAAACAAGTTATGTTCTCAAATAAAAACTAAAAAAATAGTTATAATTTTTAAAATTATTTTTATAAAACAGATCTTATTAAACAAGTTTTTTTGTTTTGAAAATCAGAAAATTATTTTCGAAAACACAATTCAATCTGGCTTTAATTTTAAGAGTTTATTGAATTCATAAATAGATAGTTTATTTTTTTTATCAATTATAAAATAAAAATTAATTTGATTTCAAAATTGTTTTGGTTATAAATCTGTTCAAATTAAGAGATATTTGAATGTATTTAATTTGATTTAACTTTAATTGTTTAAATTAATAATTTTTCCCTTTATTGGTTTTTTTATTTTGTATTTATTTTATACTTTGTGAAAAACACAATCTGGCAAAGCAAGCTAATATTTAGCGATATTGTCACCTGACACAAATGAAAATTTAGGGAAAATATTACAAAATACAATCTTAATTTATTTTATTAATTTGCTTGAAATTATATACTTAGGTATAAGTCCTATGTATTTGTATTTTGTAAATGATAATGTGGGCAACTCTTTTAAACTTAGGGAAAACAAACAAACAAAGGCATAAGATAGCCAGTGTCACAATTAAAAGTCTTTTACGATTTTTAGCATGTCTAATAATTCATTAAAAACAATTACCATACTTGCTTCAAGAGAAAATGTGGTCGAAGCCATTATATGCCTGCATATTATTTGGATGAGAATGCAAGGAAAAATGTTAGATGGAAGTGATAAAATCTTAAACCAACTTTCTAAACAAGGGAATACTGGAAGCTTCAAAAACATTGTATAATTTATAGAGTAAACACCTTTTTTTATCCCCGGCAATATCTACGAAATCTTTTTTAGTCCCCGGCAATAAAAAAGGACCAAATTGGTCCCTAAAATAATGAAAAAATGGTCTTGTTAGTCCTTATGTCAACTCCTCGGTCACTAATGTGGCCCTTTTTACATACTGTTAGGGACCAATTTAGTCTTTTTTTATTGTCAGGGACTAAAAAGGATTTCGTAGATATTGTCAGGAACCAAAAAGGGTGTTTACTCTAATTTATATAAAATACTCATGTTACAAATATTTGACACACTAAACACACATGATCAATAAAAATATTTCAACTGGGTTCCTAATTTACTTTCTTGCTCGACAATATTTCATTCTGAGACTAACACCGTTCAACTTAATTAGAGAATACTTTTCCCTTTGTACTGGACAATCTATTTCATACTGAAGTTGGAACTAATAGTGTGTGTACATATTTTGCATCTCTAACAATGATACTATACGTTTATCCTTTGAGCACTGAACCATTCATTTCAACACCTTTCAATCTTTATCAACATTTTCCCTTAAGCTATATGATCACTTTCGATGCCCAGATGATTCCATGAGAACTGCAACAGCCGCAATAAACATAAGCGACATGCCCCCCAGCAATATATATGTTCTTCTTGATGATTTGCGATACTCCCCAAACAGTATGATGCCCCAAAGGGTACTCACAAGTGGAAGTGCCTGTATATTAAACAACACATCTTCAGTCACCAAGAATTGATGATTCGAGGAACAAGCACAAGTCAAATGTTTAGACAAAGGTCATGTCACACATGTTATATGTTGGTATATAGCTCATTCTTAGGATGGAGACAATAACTCTTATTAGCGGAATATATAGAAAGTCAAATAAGGTCCTACTAGTATTGCTGTGGGCTTCAGATTTATTCTATTTTATCTTTTTTAAATAGTTTGGGTTTGACTCATTAATGTTGCTTAGGATTTCTAAGCTTATTTATATTTGCCTTGTAAATTGAGTGATTTATAACAAGAGTAGTGATTGTTCTGTGCCAACATTATATAGCGTAAGAACATTTTCTTACAATTGGTGTATCTGAATTTCTTGGCAAAGTAAATTTGAAAACATAAATTGAAAGTAAAAACTCACTTGAACAGCATTTGCTGCAGCATATCCTGCAGCTTGACCTCCCATAAATTGGAGGCCATTTCCAAAGCCACAAAGGAGACCAGCCAAAAAAGCCCAACCTCTTCCATCCCAATCTCTCAAATAAGCCTTCAGTGATGACTTGGGTAAGTTCAAGATAGGGTGGTAAAGGAAGGTGATGTTTAGAATTATGGCAACAACAAAGCAAGAGACTGAAAAGTAAAAGAAGGCAGTATAAACACTCAAATGGGGAACCCCTTTCTTTAAAGTGTGCCACTGGTCATTTGTTGCCAAATTGAATGCTGGTGAGAATAGAGAGAAGCAAACTCCAGCAAAGAAAGTTATAGCTAATCCAATGAAAGTGCTCTTGCCAAACACCTACAAAAGGTTTAACAGAAGACGAAGCATAAAGTGAAAAGGTTTGTGAAAATTGTAGTGTATAATTCCATGAAGCATAACCACCTACCTTAATTGATCTTCTTTTCTCAAGTTCTATAAGAAAAACTGCAGTTCCTGCTTTGGCTTCGTATGCAGAAGCACTTCCATTCTCTAGATCCCTTGAATCAACTATATATGTAACAAAGAAGAGGAAAAAGACCAGCATTTATCAAATAAAACAATCCCATGAAATTGGAAACAAGACCAATTATTGTTACCTTCATCTGTTTCTTTCAAAGTGGATAAACTAGTACCCCTGGCAAAAGAGCAAAATTTGGTTGTAAAATCAGAATGATTTGAAGAGAAGACACAGTAAAATCATAATCCAAAACGAAATCAACATTAATCAAGAAACCAGGATAACCATTCCAACCGGAGTGTAAAGAACCAATTCAATCCAAAAGCTTAAGCTGTTGGGTGAGGCTACATTGATGTTTTATATATCTCAACACACACGAGAGCCCACTGGACTTGAAGGGTGGACAATGCACAGGTCCACCTACTTGTGCGAAGAAAGAAATTACACTAAAAAGAAAGTCAACACACACGAGAGCCCACTGGGCTTGAAGGGTGGACAATGCACAGGTCCACCTACTTGTGCGAAGAAAGAAATTACACTAAAAAGAAAGTGGGGGGCGATGAGGATCGAACTCGGTACACTAAGGCTATGATACCATATAAAGAACCAATTCAACCCAAAAGTTTAAGCTGTTGGGTGAGATTACATTGATGGTTTTATATATCTCAACACGGACTAAAAAACCAACTCAAATGCTTCTGCTCCTAAACTTGGGGAAAACAGTTTTCTTTCTTTTTCCCCCCTTAGAAATAGTGCAGAAACAATTGCAGCAACAGAAATTCATCAGTACCCAATAAGCAGATTCAGTTATCTTTGCAAATTATGCTTTAAAAAAGGAAGAAAAGAAAAGATCACCTTCTTACATTGGATTAAAAAAATAATAATTCTCTTATTTTGATTTCTTTTACTCCTATAATTGCCTTCATTAATTTATCATTTAAACATGATAGTCATGACAATTCTCTCAGCACAGGTTAACTTCATTTCCAAACAGAAGCAGCAAACATTTTCTTTTTTATTATTTTTTGTAGAAGGTCAACGGTCATATCTCAAAGTAGTTATAAACAAACAACACGTACTGAGCTGCATCTTTGTGATGACTTGAAAAATCGTTGAGCTTGGCCTTATTATCAGCAGTATTAGATGAATGAACAGCAGAGCCTAGACAAACTGCAATAAAAAAACAACCAACTCCTGGGAAAAGAATCTTAGCTTTATTGATTCTGTCATCCAAAAAGTAATTCAATGTTGTTCCTGTTACAATCATAACAGAAACAGTGCAATGAAATTCAGTATTAGAGGACAAAAGCAAGCTGTAAACTATTTCAGATATTGAAACCTCTTTTTGAGTGCATAGCCCCAGAATCAAGGAGGAGTGTAATATACAAAACAATAAATAAAAGGGTTTGATGTTTGTTCTTCTAGGCCCGTTTGAATCGGCTTTCAAAAAAAAGTGCTTTTTATACTTTGTTTATTTTTAACAAAAAAAAGTAAAGCTATTTAGATTTTTTTTTAAATAATTGGTTTTTGAAAAAATTATTTAACTTTTCACTTTTGACTTCTGCTTTTTTTTAGAAGTTAAAACTTTTATGAATTATTTGGCAAGACTATGTATCAATTATAAAATAAGATCAAGAGTAAATATAATATGTAAATATAACTTGATTAGTGTTGTATATTATTTTATGATTTTTTTTCAGTTATATACTTAGATTGTGTATAATCAGGTTGGCATAGGAACCCTTTATATTTTGATGCTGTGAATTATTGTTTTATCTGTTGTCTGCCATTTACCTAAATGTACAAGATAAAATGTAACATCTCGAAGGAAGGGAAAATGAAATTTTAACTGAAGATTAAGATGTGATATTAATTCAATTAGTAATGGAATCAATCCTATTCTAGTTTAGAGTTCGGCCACATGTAAGTCTCTCACAGAGTCACAGTTTAAGGCCTCAAAAGTTAAGGCATAGTTAATTTTAATTATATATATATATATATATGATAAATTAAAAATTCAGTCACTGGATCGTCCAGTGCACTAAGTTCTCCCGCGAGAACTTAGTGCAATAAATATTACAATGGTGTTCTCCCGGGAGAACATAGTATAAATTTTACTATAACTGTGTTCTCGCGGGAGAACATAGTGCACTGGACCGATTTTTACATCCAGTCACTGTACACTCACTAAATTCATATATATATAGTATATATATAGTGCATAATTCTTGTGTTATATATCTATTTTCTTGTGTTAAATTGTTTTTGTATGAGAATGGAAATGTTATAGTTTGAAAAAAGGCTCAACATTACTTTGTTGAGATATATAATCTCACATTGGTCGTATGAGTAATTAATGTGGAATTTATAAAGCCTTGGACACTCCCACCTTTTGATAGGGGTGTTCGTGGTCTGGATTGGATCGGTTTTGGAAGCAAAACTCATCCGATCCAATCCTTTCGGTTTGATCATGTAATCATCCATTCGGTTTATATTTTTTTTCAAATCCGATCCGATTCAATCCAATTTTTTCGGTTTGGATTGGATCGGTTTTCGGTTTTTTGAATATCCTAAAATTAGTTTCATAATTATTGTACAAATAACATCTTTTGTATACATTAGTTTTGTAAAAAAAAATTTGAAATACAAAAATATCAGTAAACAATACTATAGTTGATGAGACGTTACTAAGTTTTTTCTTGGATTTAGTTGATGAGTTAATGGGTCTTGAGTTTAGAAATTGTTGGGTTATGATTGTAGAAAGGACAAGTAGGTAGAGGATAATTAATATATTGGATCGGTTTTCATCAACCCATCCGAAAACCGATCCAATCCAATTAAAATTTGCGGTTTTTTCGGTCTTTGATTTTTCGGTTTATTTGGTTTGATTTTCGCGGTTTGAATCAGTTTGTATCGGTTGATAAACACCCCTAGCTTTTGAACTATGTTTTTGGGGTGTGTATATCGTAAGATTCTTTACAGAGTATGAATGAAAAATACCTATAACAACAGTTATGCTTGATGCGATCACTTCCACAACTGATAATCCAACAAAAGCCCAAGCATATTGTGTGGACAGATTTCCAACACTAAGGACTACCCCACCAGCCATGGCAAACAGAACAGAAGGCAAGTTATCCTGTATCAAAAAACCACAGCACATTCATAAACAAGTGTAAACAATAATACCCAATAAATTATCAAGTTCAACTCTGAGAATGCTGCATTCAACCGGTTACTTTTATGGAGATGTTTCATTTTTTTTATTTTTTTTATTTTGGTAGGTAGATGTTTCATTTTTAAGTATGTTGAATACATGAGCACAAGATATTAAAATATAAAACAAAATATGTTTGTAACATCCCATGTTCTGAATAAAATTGAAAAACTATAAAAAAAAATTAATGAATTCATAAAACTAAAGCAAACCTTCGGAGTGTCACCACCCCACAACTTAATTATAGTAAGCAGAGATATATGGAATTCAGGGAAATTGCATGCTTGCACATGCGGCTTGGATGCCTAGTTTTCAAATCCCGTACCCATGTACAAAACATATGCATCTAATTCAGGTAGATATTAAAGACGTGACTGAATAAAGATGACTTTGTACCCAATACTTTAAAGTCTTCAACTTCTATACATAGTACATACAAATTAGGGAAAATTGTTTATCCTTTAAAATGACACAACTTATATCTTTTCACTCTCATAAAGAAGTGGGACCCACACCTTTATTTTTTTTGTCAACTCTCTCTCCTCCTTTATCTATCTCTTTCTCTCTCTTAAAATGACACAACTTTACGACCTTTAAAATGACACACACTTTTCCCTACAAATTATTCATGCTTGTAAATATTACTTTCTAAGATCTCTCATAACTAAAAATATCATCCAAAACGAGAGTTCTATGGAGGACTCACATGCAGCGGCGGATCCAGGAAATTAATGAAGGGTGGACATTCAGTAAGTTTAAATACATATAGATTTGGGTTTGGTCTGAAACACGACTTGCGAGCAGCTGCCAGCTGGCTGGGTCTGGTTGAGATCTAGATCTGGACGGATTGCGACTCAACTAGACCCATGATGGACGAAGAAGCAAATGTTCCAACTTCCAAAGAACGGAGATTGAGGTTTGAGAGGAGATGAAACAGTATGTAGATGCAAATGATGGGTTTGGAATAGAACTCTCTCCTATTAGGTTTGGTTAATAAAGATGGAGGAGAAAAAAAACTCACGGGAAAATAAAATAGAAGGAGCGAAATTAAAGGGGTAAGATATCGTAACAACCAACTAGGATTACTACCAATCAATTTCACCGTTAGATCGATTATACAAAGGTGAAAATGAATATAAAGTATTAAATATGGGGAATCATAACCATACAAAGATAAAAATAAATATAACCGTTGGATCAACATAACCGATCTAACGGTGAAATTGATTGGTAGTAACCCTAATTGGTCGTTACAATATCCTACCCCAAAATTAAATTGGAAAAACTTGAATTTTAAGAGAAGGATATTTTTGTATTTTTGCATCATATTTTAAGAGTGTGCACTTGCCCCCCTTCTCCTTAACCTAGATCCGCCTCTGCTCACATGCCTCGTTAAAGTTAAAGGGCATCAAGGCTGCCCTTGTTAAAATAAAGAACAAACCCCGGTGCATAAGGTTTCCCAATTTGCAAGGGTAGGAATGAAGGTCGATTATACGAGCAACTTTATCAGGCGGGTTTAGGAAAAGTCCGTGGTGGGAGATCACCACAAATGGGCTATTCTAGACCAAGCATTGACAAGTGGATTCGACACCATGTCTCAAACCTAAACCTTAAGGCTTTGGGTAGAGACACAGTGTTGGACCCACTATATTCCAGTACGATGAGTCTCACATTGGTTGGTAATTGACTAAGTGGAAGGATTCGTGAACCAAATACCTTAAGGTTTTGGGTTGGGACATAATGTCGGACCCACTTTATGTGGTTGGAGTAGCTTAGCCCATTGGTGATGGTCCCTCACCACGGGCTTCCCCTGGATCCGCCTGACAGTAGTATCAAAGTCAGATTGGACTCAAGCTAGCCAGATATTTGGCTAGAAGGCAGGTTGAGTGCTTTGGGCCTTGGTATTCGGTTGAGGGGGATCACATTGGTTGGTAATGGGCTAAGTTAAGAGTATATAAGTGGGAGGACCTATGAACCCAATGTCTTAAGGTTTTGGGTTGAGATATGATGTCGGACTCACTTTATATGGTTGGTCTAGCTTAGCCTATTGGTGGTGATCCCCGCCACGGACTTCTCTGAAACCCGCCTGATAGTGGTATCAGAGCTGAGTTGGGCTCAGGCTAGCCAGGTGTTTGGCTAGAAGGCGGATTGAGTACTTGGACTTGGGGTACTCGGTTGAGGGAAAGCATACCAAATGATGAGTTTCACACTTGAGGGGTAGATATATTCAAGTGTGATGAGTCTTACATTGGTTGATAATGAACTAAGTGAAATGTATATAAGTGGGGGGGACCCATGAATCCAATACCCTTTAGGTTTTGGGTTGTGACATGGTGTCGGACCCACTTGGTATGGTTGGTCTAACTTAGTCCTTTGGTGGTGGTCCCCCGTCATAAATTCTCCCTGGCTCGCCTGACAAGCTTACCTTGTATTTTTTGACGAAGAGATTGTTTCTAGACTCGAACCGTAACCTTTCGATACAAGGAGCAACTTTACCTCTACTCAAAGCTCACCTTTACTCCCCTCGTTAAAGTAACTTCAAAAAAAACATATTGCATGAATCATGAGTTCATGGTACCAACCTGAGAAAGCTGAGATAAGAAATTAGGCTCATGAGGCTTGTTGTTGCCTATCTCACCTAAAGTGAGAGCAATGATAACAGCAGCCAATAGATTGGTGAGGGTGTAGTCAAGGTAAGTGTGCTGAGGAAGACGTCCTCTTCTTTCCAACATAGTCATTACAGCAGGCCATGTCCCTAAGAAGAAAAGGGACAATAGCATGCACCCTATGGCACCTTCTTTGCTCTCCACCAGATACATTTTCAACTCACTACACAAAAATGATCGATTATTGCTATGTATATATACGAAGAAATCAAGGAAGAACCCTGAAAGCATTGTCGTATGCTTTAGGAATATATGTATATGAGAATCAAAAGTACCACGTGAATACGGAGTCAACCCATCAGAATTTAATAATATACTTTATCCGATGGTGCCGATACCTTCACTATACAAAATTCTGCTATGTGACGAAATCAATAATTATATCTGTGAGGATCAAAATATTGAAGACGTGAAAAGCATGCGAAGGGATCATGACAGTTGTTTAAATTTAGAGTTATTTATAAAAAAAGGAAAAACTTCAAAAACTCCCCTACAAGTTTTCTCAAAATCACTTAATCCCCTCCCCGAAATTTTTAATCATTTACTCCCTTACTTAAATTTTTTTTATCACTTACCCCCCTTATTTGATTTTTGATCCAAAATTTTGTTAACAGAGTTAAATTTTTTTAAAAATATCAAAATTACCCTTAATAGAAAAAAGAAAAACATAATTTCTTCACCAACACAATTTTAGACGAATTCACAGAGTGTTTTCTTTAAGGTAGCCTTGTTAGAATTAGTAATGATTAAAATTATTTCCTACAAATTCCATTGCTATAAAACACTGTACTCACAATTGTTAGTGTCGTTGTTTAGGGTTTTCTTCTATTATATGATCAACAAATATGACCTTAGGCAAATTTCCAATCTGAATCTAGGTTTATGTTCGAATTCTAGGAATCCACAAACAATACAACTTCCAAAATCGTATTTCACGTATAATAAAACCAGTATGCCAATTTTTATTGAGTATCATGTTGGTTTCTTTGCAATCAACTCATTGATATTTTTAAATCACTTAACCCCTCCCCGAAATTTTTAATCATTTTATTTGAACAACGACACCAATAATTATGAATACGGTGTTTAATAGTAATGAAATTTGTAGGAAATAATTTTAATCATTACTAATTCTAACAAGGCTACCTTAAAGAAAACATTATGTGAGTTCGTCTAAAATTGTGTTGGTGAAAAAATTATGTTTTTCTTTTTTCTATTAAGGATAATTTTGGTATTTTCTTAAAAAATTTAACTCTGTTAACAAAATTTTGGATGAAAAATCAAATTAGGGGGGTAAGTAATAAAAAAAATTTAAGTAAGGGGTAAATGATTAAAAATTTCGGGGAGGGAGTTAAGTGATTTTGAGGAAACTTGTAGGGGTTTTTTTGAAGTTTTCCCTAAAAAAAGTAAGCAATCTATATAAAGAATCAATTTACTCTGAGTTACATTAATAATTTTATATATCTTTATCCGAGAATTCACTAGTCTAAAAATAAGACAATGTACATACTTATCTACTTGTTTTAAGAAATTTCACAAAAATTAATTAATTATTAACTAAATGAAGGCGATGAAGATTAAACTCGTGACATCACTTTGATATCATGTACGGAATTAATTTAATTAAAAACTTAAAGAATATAATCTAGTTTGATATTCTAAGGGATAGTCTTTAAATAATAAATGCCGTAAGGTTACTCTTGTTGTAATAAATACATTAAAATCGTCACTATAAAGGGGCCATGATCCATGAGGTGGCTCACGTCATTTTCAGTTTGTTTGTTTTTTTTTATACCATTTTCAGTTTATTATGAATTATTGTCATGATTGTTATCGAGTTTTCAATCCCACCAATATAACAAAAGTTTATTTTCATAATGCTCATAATATGGTCCTTAGATGTTAATTTAAATTTTTTAATTAATTTAATTTTTTATAATTAAATTAGAAAAATGATCCGTTTACAAATTTTTTTTTACAAATTAGTGTATGACTGGTCAGACAAAATGTAGTTTGTAAGAGTTTGTAAACAAAAAATTTGTAAATATAAACTTCCCTATTAAATTAAATTAGCATACTTTTTTTATATTTCTCCACTTTACCAATTATCACAATCCTTGAGTTCCTTGTTTCTTAGAACATGTTTGGTGCATAGTATAGCATAAGGCCTGATAGTATAAAACTTGATAGTATAGGACCTAATTAAATTTTAATACTATCCCGTGTTTGGCATGGTATTGTATAAGATAATACCGTTCAGTGTTTGGTAATGCACTGTATAACACTAAATAGGATAAAAATAAATATTTTAAAAAAAAATACTCTTGAATAAAGAATTTATATAATTCTTCAAAAGAGGCATATGATATTAATTTTTACAAAAATCTATTGATCAGTATGTCCAAAAAAATATATTAGTTTTTATAAAAATAAAAATTTCCAATATTTTAAAATTAATATATTAAATATTAATTTTTATTTTAATATATTAATATTAAAATGATATATTAATTCTTGAGAATTGTACTCGTAAGTAATATTAATACATCAATTCCTTATCAGGCCTAATTCCACCTCCTTAGGCCTAATTAAGTTATACATCATTTTGATATATTAAAGAATTCTAGTATATAAATTTATACTATACAATAATAACACACAATAATTAAAAATATCATAATATATAATATAAAATTATATTATAAAGTTTTATATATCATATCAAACTGGCCATTCAAACTATACGCAATAACGTATAACCAACGACCCTGCTTTTTTGTTTGAGTGAAACCTCTTACATTCCTTAATATTGATTGAGCCTTGCTACCTGTTATATATAATCTGTTTTCTTAATCCATGACGCAATAACTTTTTCTTTTGTTGAGCTATTTTTCTATCATGATTAGTATTGATACATCGTTTTCAGCTGCTGACATTGCGTAACTAGATCATCCTATATTTAAATTTTAATACTTGATTCGTTTTTAGATGAATGAGACTTTGATTCGTGGTTTTTCCCTGGATACTGTTGATTCGCAACCGTTATTTACATTGCACCAATATTAACACGAGATATGTCATACGAACCAACAACCTTGCTTTTTTTGTTGGATCTTTGATATTCCTATATTAAAAAAAGGTTTATTCTGTGTTATTCAAAAGAATACAAGTTGTGTTCTTTTAGTGATTTACACAGAGTACGTTTAGTGATTTACACAGAGTCCGACCAATCGTACTATGTGTAATTCTTACTTTTTTTTCACTTTACACGTCAACGATGTGACTGAGAAGAGGAGAAAAAAACAACTTTTCAGTTTTACACAAAGTACTACCGGTTGTACTTTGTATAAAACACCTAAAATGACACAAGCTTGTGTCGTTTAAAAGGATACTTCTTTTTCTCTTAAAAAAAATAGGGCAATGCTTTTCTCATGCTACATGAGATAGTATTATCTCATGTGAAGACATAATTGGGTGGGTCCCACGGTTAAAAGAAAAAAAAATGCTGGCTCGGATTGCGATGTGTCTGTAACATGAGATAAAAAATTTTATATAACTTGAGAAAAACATTTATCAAAAAAATAACATGATGGTGTGAGGAATTATAACAATACAAAAGTGAATTAATGATAATAAAGGAAGAGAAAAAAAAAATCTTAAAATATATAGTTATAAAATCATATCCATTTATTTATCTTTATATGATTATAAATATTCTCACATAATCATATAATATATTTTTTTCACATGATAGAAATCCATTTCCTTTCTTCTTTGACTGAAACTTCTTAGATTTCTTAACATTGATTGAGCCTTGCTACCTGTTATGCATAATCTGTTTTTTTAATCCATGACGCAATAACTTTTTCTTTTGTTGAGCTATTTTTCTATCATGATTAGTATTGATACATCGTTTTCAGCTGCTGACATTGCGTAACTAGGTCATCCTATATTTAAATTTTAATCCTTGATTCGTTGTTTTCCCTAGACACGTTGATTCATTATTATTATTTATATTGCATCGATATCGACAACAGATACGACATATGAACTTTGTTAATTTTAAAAATATTAAATTTTGACACGTTAAAATATATTTTGATATTAAATAATTTTTTATTTATATAATGTATATTATATTTAATAATCAATAATTTAACAAAAAAATGAAAATAAACTTATAATACTTTTCAATTTTGCAAAGAAACATAAGATGTAAATATTTATTATTATATTTACAAATTAAAAATCTCTTATACACTCCTAAGATTTATTTGGTATCTATTTTTAATATTTATTATATCAGTTGGATAAAACATCGATCATTTTTTTTTATAATATGTAATGAAATTTCAAATATTATAAATGTCGGAGCATGTCACAGTGTCGTGTCAGGAAGACACTTCAATTTTTTTAAAATATCGGTGAACTATTATCAAATGCTTATTGTGAAAATAAAAATAAAGATAAGTAAATGTGTGCTGGCAACAATAAGTGCATACTTGCATAAATTTACATTTATACACTCATTTGTATGTCTTTATCTAAGTTATTGAATGACGTTGACATAATTCATTTAATTTGTGCAATATTTTTGTTAAATTAATGAAAAAATTGTTGGGTTTCATTCTCCCGATTTTACTCCAGATCTGCAAATTCTGCCACTTGGCTCATTTTACTTGTACAAGTGTCTCCAACGGAGCCAAATGCATTTGAATGAAAAGTGAAGGTGGCTAAAATGTCTCGGCATCACATGCTTGGAACACAACATATCTGGTTTTTCCACATGAGGAAGGTGCCCTGGGGGCTTTTTTACCCGTAATTAATTATCAATTTGACCTTTATTTTAAACTAATTCAAAAATTTAACTCTCTTAAAAAACATAACACCAGTCTGCCCTTATTTGACCGTTGATCACCAAGCCTACCCAGGGTACACCCCTTCCTACCCGGGTATTTTTTGAAAATTTTTGTCTACCCGGGTATAGAGGAATGTACCCGGGTATTTTTCTTCACACCTGAGAAATTGTTTGAATTATTTACCCGGGTAAAGAGAGGTGTACCCGGGTACATCCTTTTTTTATTTTTTTAAACCGGCAAGAGGAACGAGTTATGAACTAATGTCGTCGAGCTGGAGACAGCAGGGTGCAAAGA